GCAGCTGCCCCACGGCCCCCCACCTCCCGTTTGTGTAGAGGTTCACCTTGAATGGCTGAGTTGCTTTGAAGAATAAAGTGCTGCACCAGGATGGCTGGGCTGGGACCAGTCACCTCATGAAATCCAGCCCAATTTTGCTCTCAGAGCTTATACGGGACGGAGCAGTGAGGTAGGAAGACTTGAATTCAAGGGCTGAATTTTATAAATTTGATTGGAAAATTGGTTTATTCTTGTATATTTATTTTTTTTCAGGGGAAAAAAAAATGCATCTCCCTGCTAGAAATGCCGTAGTGCTCCTGCAGGAGTCTGTCACCGCGCTGGGTGACAAAATGCCTTCTCCCCCCGTTGCCCATCAGTGACTGAGCAGCATCAGCAGCTTAAATCGCTTACTCTCAAATTGTCCCCTTCAGCACTCTGCATCTCTCCCTGTTTATTGGTCCCACTCCTGAGGTGTGTGTCCTGTGCCCAGCGCTCACCCAGCAGACGTGGCTCGGGTCCTGCCTTCTCAGGTGGCACAAAAGCCCTTTGTCATGAAGGTACTGAGATCTGCAGCCCCTGCCCTTCCGCCTGGGAAAGGGCTGTGACTTGGTCTTTGCCTCGTTCTTTGTTTTATGGTTTGGCTTTGTTCAAAGTAAAAGAAAGAACCTGCAATTAGGTGAAGTTTCCAAAGCAGAGCCATTAATTTAAGTACAAAATCCACCCAACTGTGGGAGTTTCTCTATGCAGCCAATACATACTGACATTTCCTGGTGAGACTGAAGCTGATGAACACGGTGAATTAGTTTTTCCCTTCCAGACAGACTCATCTTGGAGAGGCTACTGCTAATGGGTAAACATGGGGGGGTGTTATTTATCCTTTGAAAGAACTAAATCCCTCCTGAGACAAATGGGACGGCGCTGGTGCTTTATGGCTGCTGCTGGTCGTGGTGTGTGGGAGCCCCAGCGAGGCTGGGTGAGGAGAGGTCTGGCTTCCAGCTGGAAAACTCTATTTGCCTGTTGATGGCTCTTCCCTGGTGTTTCCCACACCCACTAATTGGCTAATTACACTGGTAGTGTCAGTCCCTGCTGCTGGCTCTTTTGGGCCTCGCTCATCCCAGTGAAAGGGACCTGGATCCCATGTAGATCCTAACGGCAGTTTTCCAACCAGATATGACCAGAACGTTGCTCTTGTCTTGAATAAGGAAACAATAAGATTGTGGTAGATCACATCTTTAGAGAATCCCTTTTTTCTCTCTTTAAAGATGATTGCTTTGATTTTATTGTGATAAGAAATTTGGGAACGATTTGCAAAGTAATCCACACCCACTAATTGGCTAATTACACTGGTAGTGTCAGTCCCTGCTGCTGGCTCTTTTGGGCCTCGCTCATCCCAGTGAAAGGGACCTGGATCCCATGTAGATCCTAACGGCAGTTTTCCAACCAGATATGACCAGAACGTTGCTCTTGTCTTGAATAAGGAAACAATAAGATTGTGGTAGATCACATCTTTAGAGAATCCCTTTTTTCTCTCTTTAAAGATGATTGCTTTGATTTTATTGTGATAAGAAATTTGGGAACGATTTGCAAAGTAATTCTGAGAGAGCGTGTCAGTAGGCAATCAGTGTAACTGCTTTACAGCAAAACCATCTCGCTTTAAATTTCAGCGATAAGAATTGTTAGTGGTAATGGCCACAGCGAAACCATCCAACTAATGCACGTGCTATTTAGCCCCAAACTGTTTTCTTTCCCTGTTCTGGATGCCAGAACTACTTCCTATTGAAATTCCTCCTGTTTCCCACAACTTTGTTAATAGAATGTTTTGTCAAACCAGAAGTTTGTGGCATACTGAAAATTGGAATGTCTTAAAAACTAACGTCATAACAGTATTTTTAAACAAATGTAGCGGAAAAAGGTTGGATAAACCAGTGAGTGTTTCATGAAAGTGTGGCAATATTCCATAAACAAGCAAAACTTTGAATTTTGCTTGCGTGAGCGGAATAATGAGGATAGTCTGGATCAGGCACCACAAAGTTATTGCTTTTGACAGGAGCTCTTGAGTCAGACACTGAGGTGATCAGAAAATCAGATTCACAGCAGAAAGGCAGCTGACATCACCAGCAGCAGGTCGTGCTTGTCCATCACGGCGCTTCCTCGGGCTCTTTGACAGCTCTGAGGCTGTGAATAAGAGCGACGGATACAGCTGGGCATCATCTGCAGGGGGATGGAAGCCTGCGTGGGCTTGTCTCGTAATTGTATCAGGAAGCAAAGCTCCTTCCAAACACCAAATCTCTGCCACCAACACCCAAGAGAGGGCAGGGAAGGCCAGCGTGGTCCTTGGACACAGAAACAGTCTGCAGCTGGTCAATTGCTCATAAAACCAAAGGGAAAACAAAGCATAAAGCCTTGTGTCTGTGTGATTTCAACAGAATTTCTGAGCTTGAGCCCAACAGACCTTTTGAGGGTTCAGGTCAGGATCTCTGTTACCTTCTGCACTAACGATGGCTTGAAGGCATCTGGGTGGAGGTGGAAGGGAAGGAACGCAGCCAGCGTGGCCAGGGAGGATAAATGAGTGATGATGGAAGTATGGGCAGTGATGAAAGGAAACCATCAGTAGGGTAGTGATGCTAAAATGCTAAACTTCTATATGAGAGCTAAAGCGGTGTTTAAAAATTGTTTCTTCATACTTTGAAAGGAAAGGTAGAACTGTTGGATCGGCGAATCCTCCTGGCCCAGCTCATCTGGGTGTCACTGTTACACATCACCAGACACTGTAGGGCTGTTCATCACTGATGTGCTCTCTGGTGCAGCCCAGGGGCGAGCAAGGGTTTTGTGCTGATTCTCTATGTTCTTCTCAAAGACCTTCAGTTTCTGTAGTTCCGTTCTGGAAGGAGACCTTACTTGTTTTTAACAGCTATTAAAAATAGCTCCCTCTCTCATGGAGCATCGCATAAAACAGTGAGCTCCTCCTCTGTCCCCAAAACCAGTGCCCCACACTCCAGTCAGATGAACAAGCCCTGGACATTTCTTGTAATTGTTGTACTTATTCTCAATGTATTTTTTGCACACCAATGAGACAAGCCTTGAAGATAGTTTTTAGGGGGAAAAACAAACAAGACACTGCCTGGTCTAGTTTGTTACTCTGATCCCTGTTCCTTATCGTCTGTGTGTGAATGATGTTCAATAACCCCCGCCTGGAAATCCAGAGCTGAGAGGGAGGACCAGGGCTGTCTGCTTATTTATGGGCTCCCTCCTCCCCTTTTCATTCTCCTCAGCCTTCTGTTTCTCAGTGCACAAGTAATATGTTTGCAGTTTGGGTCTTTAGATCTACAGGCTTCAGTTTTAGAGTATGAATTCACCTCCATTAATTGCGAACTGTATTCAATATTTATGCTGGAAGGACGTGAGGTGTGTTCCAATGAGCGGGTTCTCCTTTGAAAAAAAAAAAGAGCTGAAAAATCACCAACTGCTCCGGTTATAGTGTCTCATGAAGATGCCAACAGGCAGAACGTGATTTAAGGTGCACATTTTGCAAATCAGCACCTCCATAACAACACTGAGAGGACACAGAAAGAGCTATGGGGGGATCCGTGTTCAGATTAATGCAGCCTCTTATCTTTACTTAGTGCAGAACTTCCCAAAACGGATGAGTCTGTCAGATCACTGGTTCTTTCTTAATATTTTTTTCTCCTTTTGCTTGTTTTTCCTCGTTGCTGTAATCATGCAAATGATGCTGTTCATTGTATCCATCTTGCCTATCGGCTTGAGATGCTGAATATTAATTGAACAGCATGATATCTGTTTCTCAAGCTTCACAGATAAGCAAAACATTTTTATATTAAAGTGCTTCATCCTCTTTTATTAACGATATTTTAAGACTTTTTAATCTTTGTCATGGAAGAAATCCTAAAAAGCCCAAACTTCTGAGACCGTGGTTTGGTTTATAAACAGGCTTTCAAGAGCAGATTTTTGTAGAGGTGTGTATACGATTGTCCTCATCTTAAACTTTGTTCTTTATTTCAATACATCAGCTTTAATTTTTTTAAGCTGCTGTGATTCTGGATTCTGAGTCTCTCTCTGCAGATCTCCAGAAGAGAGGAAGAGGCAGGCTTTTATCTTTCAAAAGGACAGTGGAAAACTTTTTGTTATTATTTGGCCTTGCTTCAAAAAAAAAAAGGCACTTCTGAGTATGACAAAGTAGCTACTACGTAGGCATCTTGAACTTAGCCACCTAAAAATGTTTTGAAGCATTGGGGGTTTTTATGTTTGGTGGTTGTTTTTTTCCCTCAAACACAGAAATGTGCTCTGATTTACGTGCTTGTAGAGCTGGGAATGACAATGGAGTATCCACAGCCAAAGTTCTGAGGATACCAAATATAACGTTTTCCCAAGGGCTTTCATCAGTTTTCCCTCTTTTCACCCAACTGTGTGAATGTCAGATTCCTGGGACTTTTGTGCACTTTTATCTTGAGAATGGTGTTGCCTTGTTCTTATTCCATGAAGGAGACCAATGTCTATTCCATGAAGGATAACTTCTCCTCTGCCCTTCACCTGGGTATTGTCGTGGCTTTTAAGGCTTGAAGCAAGAGCTGTGTCCCTTCAAGGTTTACAGAATATCTGATTTCTACTATTTTCTGTCTTTAAGAGGGAAATGTGTTCAGTTGGACAAGTACAGGGGATGAATTTGAGGATTAGAGAATTGTGCAGTTATTTTTCAGGCTGGCTAATGTTGAAAATGTATTTGACCTTCCTGAGGCATTCTGAATGTTGGTAATCCCTGGGCGAAATGGATGAGAGTTCAGAGACGTGATGAACTCAGCCAAACCTGTGTTGTCACTGCATGTGCAATCCCACACACCCAGAGCAGACATATTTTGTTTATTCAGCTCCACAGTAAATGTTTTGTGTTTTCTTTTTCCAACATAACCAGTTTATATACGCGCTTCTGTCTTAACTAGGTGCCTGCATCTTAAATAGATTTGTTCTCACATTTAAAGTGATCATCTTATGTTTTGTGTTCCTAGGCCAGGTACAAGCAGAGTCTCGATCCTACAGTGGATGAAGTTAAGAAGCTCTGTACGTCTCTGCGCCGCAACGCCAAGGAAGAGCGGGTTCTTTTCCACTACAATGGACACGGCGTCCCCAGGCCCACAGTAAACGGGGAGATCTGGGTCTTCAACAAGGTGTGTCTTTGCAAACATTCTGTTAGAGAACAACTGCATTTTCAGGGTTTAAAATGTGTCCACAGGTGGTTCTTTTTTCATTTGATCCCCTGCTGACAGCTGTTTGCTTTCTCCGGGTTATTGAAGTCCTGAGACCATGCAGGTTGTCCCTCTCCTCCTGGTGGGCAGTGGGTCTTCTCTGGGATGCTCTAACCCCAACAGGAACCTGCTTCCATGTGTTTCCTTGGCTTTTCAGGGGTAACACCCAGTTCTGTCCTGATGGAGCAAGCAGTGGGGCTCCCCTAGGGACTTGGCTTTGCTACCTTATTTCACTGCCTGATTATTAAGTTCTTACCATAAAGTTTATGCTTAAAATGTCTATAGACTCCAAACAGCCATCGTTCAGGGCAGCTGGAGATCCTGCATGAGGATGATATGCCGTGGGGCTGTCTGGGAGTGGGGCACAGGGTGCTGTGGAGCCCCCAAGTACAATCATAGCTATCTCTTTTCTTTTTTTCTTTTTTTTTTATAAAGACTTTTGTCACTTCTGCTCAGCCTTGGTTTGTAACCATAATTTGTACATCTGTGTAGATCACACGCAACACCTTTCCAGTGAGCCCGAGTGTGACCTAAATGTACTTTGCTTTCCCTTTAGTTAAGCTATTTAGTGGCTATTAAAGGGAACTGGGTTGGAACGGAGTCCTAGGAAATGGAGAGAAACTGCTTGTAGCTGAAAAGTACATTCAGCTGACATAGGACTTGCAGTCTTTATTATAGATATGCTCCTGTTTTATTTTGGGGGCTTATTGAGTTTCTTTTCTCATACTTCACATGTATTATTTTTATGATTGAATGAGCATTCACTGGTAATTTGAAAGAGCAGGGTCGAAGGGAAGGGGAGAAAGTGCAGAAGGGCATCCCTTTATTCCGGTGCATCTATATTGGAGACTTGATTAACATTCACACCAATAAATAATTGAGCTGAATACTAATTCCTTTTGAAGCTGAATTTGGTGTTGAAGAACAAATAAGGAGTGACCTCCTTCTTACTGAATGGCCAGTGGGTAATAAATAAGCCAGGAAGAACACTGGGCAGAATGGGCTACACCTGGAAGAAGAGGAAATGAACTGGTGGATGAAGGTGGATGTTGTGCCGGGTGCTCTCCAAGGAGCTGAAGGGGTATTTGCCAGTTTGGTGCAGAATCAGGCGGGTGATGTGGTTGTGGAGCTACAGGAGATGGGGGGCTGAGGTCTCTGCTTTATCTTACTGAATTGGGGGGGAAAAAAAGTGACCATCATAGAGGTTGATGGGGAAAAGTTGAAACTTAGTAATTTTTTCAGCATGTTATCAAAAAGATTTCAAAAAAGAAATAATGAGGAGTAGAATCCTTTTAAGCAAAGGATTAAGTTGAAGGGGATACCGGGGGAAAACAATCAGCACTGTTTAGAAATCAGTCCTAAGGAGTTCAGTCTCAGGTCTGAGCAGAGGCTCATATTGTTGCCCTCTCCAATTGAAATCCTAGAGCTACTGAAATTTGATGGTGCTGACATTTGAAAATCAGGAAGTCTCAGTTACAAGAGGGTGAAGGCAGAGCTGAAAGGGACCTTAAGATCATCCCAGCAAGGGGCCAGAAGGGGTGACACGGGTCTTGCTGGTGGATGGGAAGTGTTTCAGGCTGACCTGTGTGTGCCAAAGCAGATGAAAGATGTTGGATTTATTCCCTGGGGCCAGGCTGCACGTCGCTCTTGCTATAATCCAGTCTTAACTGTAGCAATATGCATTATAAAGATAAAGTTAAAACAATACATACCCATAAAATCTCACCTATTATATGTGTCAGAGCAGAGACTTCAATCTGTAACTGACTGATTGGAATGTGCTTAAAATGAGTGATGTCCTTAGAAGAGGCCGGGGCCGAGGGCGAGTTGTTCGTCTGTTGTTCTGCCTCACGACAATTTGCAAAGTACCCAACTCCCTAGAACTTCAGCCTTTATAAACAATTTTTCCTATTAATTTTAATGAAGCAGCTGAAACTGTTATATATGGGCAAAACTGCATTTTGAAATGACTTCCTATTTCCTACCTTATCCAACATATGGTTTATGATCACTTCTGTCTTTATAGACACCGATATGTGTCCTTGAAAATTTGATTTTTGTCAAAGTTTACTGGTTTTATTACAGCTATTTTAAGTCTCTTGACTTTAAATGGGAGTTATGATCCCATCCATCATTGTGCTGATGGTAATGGGGACATCAGGGCTCTGGTGTGGGTTTGGGGCAGAGCTGAGAGCCAGGGAACATGAGCAGGTTGCCCTCTGGCTGCAGATGGGAAGGTTCTGCAGCCGTGGGGTGTTGGTGGGGACTCTGCAGACCCTGATGGCACAAATCTGCTCTGGTTCTAATTTTCAGTTCTGCCACTTAGTTTGGGGTATTGCCCTTCATGGCTAATTTTCAAGGTCACAGAATCACAGAATGATATGGGGTTGGAAGGGACCTCTGGAGATCATCTTCTCCAGACCCCCACCAGAGCAGGTCCCACAGGAACGTGTCCAGGAGGGATTTGAATGTCTCCAGAGAAGGAGACTCCACCACCTCTCTGGGCAGCCTCTTCCAGGGCTCTGCCACCCTCACAGCAAAGAAGTTCCTCCTCATGTTTAGGTGGAACTTCTTATGGTCAAGTTTGTGCCCGTTTCCTCTTGTCCTGTCCCTGGGCACCGCTGAAAAAAGACTGGCCCCTTCCTCTTGACACTCTTGATATTTTTTTTTTTATCCTCATTGTATTTAAAGAAGCTCTTGCCTCCAATTATTTGGGGGCGTTAAGGTGGAAGAGAATGAATAAAATACTTCATATTTACAGAAGCTAAACTGTTGGTTCTTCCCTCTGCGGAAGGCAGGCTTTGTTGGTTTTAATGTTATTGGATAATTCTGAAGCACAGAAGTTAAAGGCTGTAATAAAATTATGAAGCATCTCATTAAACTAGGATGGGGTAGCTGCTGATGGGCTACATAGCCTTAATTATCAATCTTGATTTATTGATGGAGTTTTCAGTGTGAGACGTTTGATGTTAAATTAAAGACAGCTGGTTTACATCCTTTATCAGTGTTGCAGAAATGTGAGATAAAATTGGACTGTTAAATACTGGTTGGGGCTGTTAGCACATATCAGAGCACTCCAAGTTTCAGAATTTTAGTTCAGAGTTTAGTGTTTCAGACAATTCCACCATAAAATCTGTTTGCCATTTGTGTTGGCATTGGGTCATAGTCCTCATTATGAGCAGATGTCGATTGGTATTTGTGTTGATTGATACGCCCAATGTTCAATCTAGGTTTTATTTTGTCATTTTTAGAACTGGAAATTTTTGTGTGTCTCTTTTATTATTTCACCAGTGACAGTTCTGTTTCCTCTCTGCCTCTGTAACTCAAGTGGGTTTTTTTTACCTTCTTCCAGAACTATACTCAGTATATTCCCCTCTCCATCTACGACCTGCAGACCTGGATGGGGAGTCCCTCCATCTTCGTCTACGACTGCTCCAACGCCGGCCTTATCGTCAAGTCCTTCAAGCAGTTTGCGCTGCAGCGGGAGCAGGAGCTGGAGGTGAGAGCAGTCTCTCGCAGAGCTTCCGCAGGGGCTTGTGCCACAGGGTTAGATCTAAGCTTGCTTTGCCACACACAGCTGAAAAATGTGTTTAAAGCCACGTTGGAAGGCAGATTCATTTGCAAACAGTTTTGCCACCCCAATCTTTCTGGTTCACTTTGCTATCCTATTAAACATGGAACAATTTTTAATACAAGCACTAATTAAATGGTGATGTTAATAGAATCAATTTGTGCCCTAATGGCCTTTTCTGCCCTGAGAAATGTTGAGGTGAACTAGACATATTTATTTTAGTTGCAAAAGTCTAGTATCTAGGTATGTATTTGGATGTAGTTAAAATTTTGCACTGTTGAACTGAATGTAAAAATGCAAACCAAAATAAAATAAACCTGATACACAGAGGAGTTGTCGCTGGCGGTTTCAGTTTCACAGACTGCTTAAGTTTAATGTGTTCCTAATGAAAAGCTGTCTCCAAAGAGAGAAAGCACAAAAAGAGATGAGAACTTGGGAGTGATAGAAAAGCAGTTTACGCTTCTTGGAGATAACTGAGAAAAGATAATGTTGTAGCCCTGCGTGGTACATTGTCTTCTGCACAGAGCTGCCTCCAAAACAGCACTTGAATAGGAAATACTTTTTTCCCCCACTTCTTTTAGTAAAAAAGGGTGGGTAATGTGTGTGAGTAGAAGGCTGTGTGGGTAGGAAACAGCATACTGGGGAGACCTTATAGCGGCCTTCCAGTATCTGAAGGGGGCTACAGCTGGAGAGGGACTCTTTGTCAGGAAGTTCAGTGATAGGACGAGGGCTAATGGTTTTAAATTGAAAGATGGGAAATTTAGATTAGATATTAGGAAGAAATTCTTTGGTGTGAGGGTGGTGAGACGCTGGAACAGGTTGCCCAGAGAAGCTGTGGCTGCCCCATCCCTGGAGGGGTTCAAGGCCAGGTTGGATGGGGCTTGGAGCAACCTGGTCCCTGCCCAGGGCAGGGGGTGGGACTGGAGGATCTTTAAGATCCTGTCCAACTCTAACCATTCTGTGATTCTGTGATTGGTCTCAGTAAGAAGAGTGTGTATTCCAGAGACAGGAATCTGTCCCGTTTTACCCTGATGGACAGACTTCTGCCGAAACCAGCTTTTATCCACGGGAGATTGCAACTCCGAGGAGGTGAGGCTGAAGGTGGATCCAGCCCTGGAGACACCAGCGCCAGCTCACCTCTGGTGGGATGGGGAATGGGCAGTTGTGGAGATAATTCTGTCGTTTGATTACAGCTCTGTATTGTATATTTATAGGGCAGCAATTAAGCTAATAAAGTCTGCTAATCCCCGTCGTTCTTGATATGTCACAGTGCTTCAAAAGTTCGGTGCTGTCAGTCCAGGGACTGGGGCTTTCCCTGGGCTCGGGTAGTCTTGGACTGTTTCAGAGAAAGAACTCTGGATTGCTTTAATTTCCAACTGGATGGGCAGTTCAGCTAAGAATTTGGTTGAATTAGGTTAACAAAAGCACATATTTTGCAGATAAACACCCATTTAGCAGCACAATGGCGTTATGGTGTGTGATAAAATAGTTTAAAATTTAATTTTTCCAGTTGATCCTGCCCTTATTTGTTTTGGTTTATGTCCTGATGTATCAGAAAGCTGTTGTGTTCCTTTCCCAAAAGAAATTTTAAGACCTGGAAATGGACCACAGGTTTTAGAAGCTGGATTTCCTGCAGTTTTCCTGGGTGGTGTGAGGTTTGGGGTGGCGGGGAAGGGGACAGGGGTGCAGGGGCAGGCACCAAAGGAAGCTCTGGGTGCTCTTCATCATCTCACTCTGGTCATCCCGTAAACACAGTGTGATTTTGAAGGACTGAGCAGGCGCTTTGTGCTGCACTCTCAGTGATCCAGCAGTGGGCGGGTTATTTCTGATTAATCTTCTGTGTGACTGTGACATTGTGTTGCCTCTGACTCACACCGCTTTCCCACAGCAAAGGGCCGCCGGCCTGAGGCCGCAGCTGAGCTGTGTCTCAGGGAAGGCTGAAAGGTGTCTGCTGCAGCCTGTGCAGCTCAGCACACATCTCACTGCTTGATTTTTTCACCTTTAGTGTTGGAATTTTCAGCCCCGTGTCCCTGGAAGCAGCACCCTGCCCTGGGGTGTGCTTTGGCTGGGGGGAGCACTGGTTGGCTTGCCCATCAGCAGGGTACGTGACTAATGAGTCCTGATTGGAGCTGAGGAACCCACAGCTTTTATTTTTCCGTCTTCAACAGTAATTCTCAAAAAATTAGCTTAGTGACAGCAGAGCAGAATGTTATCTGGCATTAGCATCACGTCTGGGGGGAGAAGTTTTTCTAATCCACCATCTGCTGGGAGCAAGGAAGGAGGAGCATCTCCTCCCCGTAGCTGTGTTCATGCCTGCCCCAGGGGAGGAGGGTGCTACTGGCAGGAACTGGGTGAAGCTGGTGGGTCCCATCAACACCTGAAATAACAACAACCCCGAGTTTCCATCCTGGGCAGAGTTCCTCCCGTGTTTACCTTCAACACCTATGTTAATTCAAAAATACTCAGGTTTCTATCAAACGCCAGTTTCTAATTATACAGGTACATAAATGTTTTCAGTGGCAGCGGTTTAAAACCCGTGTTTTATTTCTCTCTCTGTTAATTACAAGAGATAATACTCACAAATCTGTTAGGTTGTCTCTGGACGAACACAGCACTTGCCAGTACCAGACCTGAGTGCTCCTTAGCTTGGGCAGCTGCAATTTGTTTTCAGAACAAATTAATTAGCACCGTGTTACGATAGCGTATTTCAGTATAATTGATAAATTAATATCACCACTGTTATTTTGTCTGAAAGGCTGCGGATTGTCAGTTGCCCTGGAATAACAGTAAGTAGCACAGGGAGTGCTGGGCTGAGAGAAGGAGTTTGTACTCCCAGAGCTGAGATGGGAAATGCCAGCACTTTGCCTGGGGACTCTTTCTGCTGAACGAGGATGTGAGTTATTGCCTGTTGCAGCCTAAATTTTAGGTTGCAGATAAATACAAATTATTAATAATTTTGAGAACATTTCATATATGGTAACTCTGCTTATTTTATTTACTACATTTACAGTTGTGTGTGAGCATTTCTTTACCAGTTTGTATTTTTAATCTTTTTTCAGCCCTCTACTTATTCCATATCTTACTCTAATAAAAAGGTACATTTGTGAGGGACCCAGGCAGCCAAGAAAGTCTGACTTCAGTGGATGTTCTAAGGATGCAAAAATAAATGTTCACAGCGGGCTTTACTCACCCCTCTTTTTCTTTTTCCCCTTTTCTTTTTTTTTCTCCTTTCACACTTACTTTGTAAAATAATCTTTGGCTACATCATTATCCCTGCAAGGCTGAGGAGATCTGTAATTACTCGCTGGTACTGTATGTTCACTTTATGGTTGTTAATAGTCCATCTCCTAATGGGCAAATATTGACACTGGAGGTGTCCCCGTGGGTCTCGCTGCCGGGAGCTGGGCAGAGTGAGCTCCTTCCCTGACTGAACCAAGGGCTCTATGAGAGCGTGACAAATGTCCAGTCTTTGCTGTTCCACACTGCTCAGAAAGCAGAAAATCCATCTAAATGTACTCCCTGCTTACGGACCCCGTTTGTGAGGATGCCCAGAGGACGAGTCTTTCCTTAGGGAATGAAGACCCATAACTAAGCGGTTTGGCTGCTTGTATTTATCAATCCATGAAGAGCTGATGCTCTTCCACAGTCTCTCATGCCTTTCTCCTCAAATAAAAGATCATTTCCGTATTTTAATTACCCTTCTTTTGTTATTGATGTACAGCTTAAGCTTTATTGAGAAGTGCAGTAACCATTAGTAAATGACGAGCGATGACTGGAGCGTAGCTTCATTTCCACCCGGGCTACATCCTGCATCTCTGCTGAGCACAGGGGCTTGGCTCGTTTGGACAACTTGAGGAAGCTGAAGTGTGTCACTGCTGCCTCTGGGATTAGAATGGAGGGGAAAAAAAAGCATTTAAAGAATCAAAAAACGTAATAGGTTGCAGAACCAACCAAGAAGGACAGGGAACTGCTGGAGAGGGGACAGCAGAGGCTACAAAGATGATGAGGGGCCTGGAGCATCTCTCTGATGAGGAAAGGCTGAGGGACTTGGGTCTCTAGTCTGGAGAAGAGAAGGCTGAGGGGGGATCTGATCAACACCTGTAAATACTTCAAGGGAGGGTGTCAGGAGGATGGGTTAATATTTGCATTGCAGAAGGCACTGCACATTTCTTCTGCTTTTGTTGGAAGATGGCCTCTCTACTTACACACGGTCATTTTCTCCCTCTTCCCAGCTTGACCTTTTTTCTCTAGCGAAGTAGAAAGATGTTTGGGGAGACACCCAAGGGGTTCAGTGCTCTTCTGGCTCACCACTTGCTGCCTCGTACAGCCAAGTGAATTCCAGTTTTCCATTTGAAGCTCCTCTGCGGTGAATTGTTATGAGCCACGGGAAGGATGGGTTTTGCTTAAATATAAAAGAAGGAATAATTAGCCCAACTTGCTTCTACGGTGCTTGACACGAGTGGGCAGATGTGAAATGAAGACTCAGAAGTGGTGATCACAGCTCAGTCTGTCGCAGGCTGCTTGGTTTGGTGTGTGGTTTTGTTATGGTAAATATGCTTAAATACCATTTGTTATACGTGAGTAAAGACTATGACTGCTGCCACCATATTTTTAAATTTCTCCAAATCCAGAGATCCATCGAACTTGGAAGCTCTTCCTTAGATGTTTTCGAAATGGTGTAGAAATGAATTTAACTGAACCTCACCAACCAAGTGATTTCCTTGATCTCTCCAGGTGGCAGCAATTAACCCCAACCACCCCCTTGCCCAGATGCCTTTGCCACCCTCCATGAAGAACTGCATTCAGCTGGCGGCCTGTGAGGCCAACGAGCTGCTCCCCATGATCCCCGACCTGCCGGCCGACCTCTTCACATCCTGCCTTACTACGCCCATCAAAATTGCTCTGAGATGGTGAGTATCTTCCCCCGGTATTGAAAGCAAGTCCATGATTTGTGTAGCTTGTCTTTTGAACTGATAGATTTGTTAATCCAAAGGTTTCATCTAACCTAAAATTTCTCTGCAATATTGAATTTACAGGGTTTGAACTATGCATTTGGGATGGCGTTTTATTAATCAGAACTAGAAAGGTGAAAAATATTGTTATCTTCTACTTATTACATTTTAGATTCCAGCTCAATATCTAGGTTTGCTCAGATTAAGGGATTTACTGTTCTGGGAATTAAATATCTGCTTCTTCAGAGAGCAGAAATAGCACATAGTGCAATACAACTTTTTGTAAATTGTCCTTCATACAAATCATCTTCCAAATATTGCGGTTGCTGTAAATAATACAGTGGCATTAAATAACGCTGTAGTGAAAGAAATTGAGCGATAAAGCAAAGAAAGATGTTATGGAATGACAGACCAAGTTAATTAGGCAGAAAGTTATAAAAGGCTGATGGAGAGCGGAGCTTTCGAGGAGCCCGCAGAGGTTCCAGCAGAGGACTCGGTGTGAGGAACCCGGCGTGTGCCCCGGGTCATGGCTCTGCTTTTTCCTGCTTCTGGGCACCTTCCCCTCCGGCCTCTCAAGGTTCTGTGTAGCCCAGAATGAAAACTTTGGGCCATTTCCCAAGCTGGGCTGAGACAGGCAGAAGCTTATAGCCATTGCAGATGGTGGTGAGTGATTGAGTCACCACAGCTTCCGAGGTCATTAGCTCTCTTTTGACAGCTAATTGGAAAAATTTACAATTCTTACACTCATTCTGACTTATAGAAGCAACAAAGTGAGTGAGTTACTTTCCCCAGGGTCTGGCTTAGACATGTAGTGCCTTCCCTTCTTCTGCCAGGGACAGCATGAGAACTGTTCACCTCTCTGTCCCGTTTTTGATGTCATGAGCTCACAGGGTGTTGTCTCACAGCAGAGAGTCACGGCTGGCAGAAGTCTTGGATGATTTTGAGAATTGGGGCAAAGAGCTGGAGTGCCGTTAGCGACGTTTTCAAGGGAAGGTTTTGAGAGAGATGAGGAGAAAATGGTTTTTCTAACCCAGGTATCAGGGACCAGGAGTCTGAAGTAAGGGCAGACTAGCGAAGGAACGGCAAACCTCTAAGTAAGTTGGGCAGGTGTGTGCTCCGCTCGTAGCTTTAAAATCCTTTTCCTCTTACTTTGTCTTTCTTCTGTTGTAAAAACAAAATATTACGTTGTTTTTCTGAGATACCAATCTGGTTGCTCACCAGTTCTGCAGCAGGGCTGAGTGGCTGATCAGCCAGAGATACTTCATCTCATCTCATTCATCCGGAGAGAATGAGGTGCCTTCCCTTCTGGGACGGGTGAGAGGAGACTCCAATATGTCCCTTGCTGTGACAGCCCTTCTCTGCTCCAGCCACTGTCAGGATGTGGAGAGAAAGTGGCCTCAGGTTGCACCAGGGGAGGTTCAGGTTGGATATTAGGAAAAATGTTTACACGGAAAAGGTTATTAAACCTTGGGATGGGCTGCCCAAGGAAGGGGTTGAGGCACCGTCCCTGGAGGTGTTTAAAAGACGGGTTGACCTAGTGCTTAGACACATGGTTTAGCGCTGTTTTTTTATCAGAGTTAGGATGATGGTTGGACTAGATGATCTTAAAAGTCCCTTCCAACCCAGACAATTCTATGATTCTACCAGCTTCCTCCTCCTGACGTGGTGGTGCTGGGCTGGGAACTGCCTGCTGTGTGAAAATTCTTAATTTGCCTGCACAGATCCTTCTCTTTTAACAGCTAAAGTAAGTTACCGTGTGGCAAAGTTCCTTTAGGGGAACTTTGGGAGACACTGTGGTTTATAACCAGGAAAATATGGGTGCAGGGAAGTATGTCTGTCATATGGCTGTGTCAGGTCACTGCTGTCCACACGGGAAGGAGTTTAGGTTTCTGCTGGTTTTATCAGGGAGAAGGACTTTAGCAGAACGTTCCAGCTGAGTAGCTCAAGGCCAGCAGCAACAAATGCAACTTGGTAAATCCAAATGATGCTTTTTTAAAAATGGACTTGTTGAATGGAGCCCCAAACCAATAAATAAACCAAAAAATGATCCGGGATTCAGCAAATGGGGGTTTGAGTTTGAGTTCTGGGGAGAGTCTTTTCACCAAAACACCATGTTACTGCAGGGGGAAAACAACTGCTTTTTTGGAGTGGATACACCGAGGCTGCAGTTATTCAGAATAACTCGTTATTGAGCGTGTGTGTTACATCCATACTGTCAGGATGCGGTTCTGAATTCACCACTGAATTTTTGTTGGTTTCACTAATTGATAAAAATCTTAGTGGGAATCCCTAGCATGGGCTTTGGTGCCTATTGGAGATTAACTGGTTTATAGCAAACTGAAGCTTCCTAAGTGAAGTGAAAGCTGTTGGCACTGGGCTTTTCCTTCCCTTGCAATTATCCTTCCCTTCACAGTTGGTGCCATAATTAAAGTTAAAATGCTGAAGCTCTGCAAGAAGGTTGTGGTTTTTTGGTTTATTTTGGAAGGACGTTCCCTCCAAACACACAAACCGCTTACACAGCAGTGTTTAATGAACAGTTTCTATAACACTGAGAGGGGTTTGGGGGATATTGTGATCTGTGTAGGAATTCTCTGTCACTTTGTCTCCATGGGGACGTGGGAGGGGGTGACGAGGGCAGGTTCTCAAGCGGAGCCATACCTGGCGTCAGCACCAGCTCCTCTCACGCTGTCTCTCCTCGGTGTTTGATGGGAAGGATGTTTGTAAAAATGCAGCTTGGGGGAAGGAGTTAAAGCTCTTAACCTCAGCCCTTCTTGGGGCTGACGCTGGTGGATGCTGTGTGAACTCCTGGAGAGTGAAGTGTTTCCTGCTGCAGCTCATCCAGCGCTGGCGTGCGGTGCTACTGCACACAGAAATACTCTTCTCTGAGGAAGATTATACTCCTTTTATATTCCCTGTTGATTGGCGTTAATGCAGGTGTGTTTTTATCCCTGCCAGTCCTTTAAATACTAAGGGTGTATTTGCAGAGCATTGTTATTTGCTGCTCTTAAACAGAATAGAGGCAAAGGCAGCCCCTCCTCCTGGTTCCAGCTGCTTGGTGCAAACTGGATGTTGTGTCCTACAGCAGGCAGTTAACCCAAAAATGAGGATGTAAACCTTTGTCATTAAAACTTCTACTTCACTCCAGCCCTTTTACTAAGGCTGGTCCAGAACCCTGCAGAATTGCTTTTGAAATATGGCATTTTTGCAATTCTGGACTGACAGGCTAATGAGGTTTCATATATTGAATTTATGGGCAAATAAACTTTTGATGAATAAATTTCTGTAGATCCCATTTTGTGCTCTGTATTTTAAGTAAACAACTGATGGACAAAAATCACTTATGAAATGATGTTGCGGCTGCATCCACTTGAGTCTAATTTCAGGGAAAGAAGAATTGATGCTGGTAAGAGAAGCGCGGGTCAGTCGGGCCCCGGAATGCGGGTAGGAATCCTGGCTGGCTCCATCCCCATTATCTCCCTGTGAGGGGACTGTTGTGAGCTGCCTGTTCCAGATATATGTTGTAACTATATATAGCTGTGTATGAGACAAGCTTAAAGTTAATCTTCATGATACACACTGATAAGAGGTAACGCAGCTATTGCGGGGGCGGGCAGACGTCGGCGTGTGTTTGGTGCCCTGGTTCACACAGGTCTGTGTCTCTCCCCTTGTATAAAGCAGAAAGCAGCTGTACTGGAGACTGGGATAGTAGTGCATCATTGTCATCGTCCCTTAAGACATAGAATCCTGAATTGTCTGGGTTGGAAGGGACCTTTAAGATCATCTAGTCCAACCATGATCCTAACTCTCATAAAAGCCATCACTAAACCATGTCTCTAAGCACTATGTCAACCCATCTTTTACATTCCTCCATGGATGGTGCCTCAACCCCTTCCCTGGGCAGCCCATTCCAGGGCTTAATAACTCTTTCAGTGTAAAACTTCTTCCTAATCTCCAACCTGAATCTCCCCTGGCGCAACTTGAGGCCATTTCCTCTTGTCCCATCGCCTGTTCCTTGGGAGAAGAGACCGACCCCCCCTGGCTACACCCTCCTTTCAGGGAGTTGGAGAGAGCGAGAAGGTCTCCCCTCAGCCTCCTTTTCTCCAGGCTGAACCCCCCCAGCTCCCTCAGCCAGACAAACTGCCATAAACGAGCTGCAATGGTATTATCACCATTTTGCACATCAGGGCGAAGGCTCTGCTTGTCTGAATTGCCTTAAGGACCCAAAGGCTTTGCACCATGAAGTCCCACTCAAAAAAGTAATAGGGCTCTGGAGAAGTGCTGAGAAACCCCCAAAACCACTGCTCAGACTCAGGAATTTCAGATATATGGTTCGTACTTGAGAACCCCAATACAGTGAGGTTGTAAGTGCATGGAAAAAAGAGCTCAGCCCGTGACAGCTGATTTTATGTTGGGTAAATTAACAAAAACATTTAAAGTCTTTCTTTTACCTTAAGTGTTTATTTTGCATTCTGCTTGAAATTCTGGGGGTTTAACTGAGCCAGTCTTCTGTCCCACATTCATTTAGAGAAATGAAATTGAGTTTCAAAATATTCCTGTGGTATCTGAGCAGGACCCAGTTGAGCACCGTTGTGTGTATTTCTGGTTTTCTTCTTTATTGCCTGGCATTTATCGGTGTGTTTACAGGCGGCTCTAACATTTGCCTGATGTTTGTGATGATGACACCAGCCATCACTTGAGACGCCGCATTTCGAGCCGCGGAGCGGTGAAAGGGGGTTGCAGCTACAGGATGAGGAACATTCTGTTTACCAGTACATTTTCTTGGCAATGGGTGGTTGTCGGGGAGGGAATGCAGATAGTCGGCTGCTGGTTAAGCAGGGCTTTAATGAACTCATCTCTCTGAGTCTTCAGGGCGATGGGGGGTGCGTTACAGACGCGGTGCCGTTCCTGGCCGGGTGCTTTGCTCCAGCTCTGCAGAATATCCCAACACATCCACGGTCAGGGCAGAAAGATGGGGCTTCACTGCTCAAACGCAGGCTGGTTTTGTGTTCTTCTCTTCGAGGAGGCATGAGCTCAAATGAAAGAGCTGAAATCTAAGCTTATTTACATGTTGCCCGCGGTGCTGTACCAGCAGCTCCCCGGGGAAGTGCTAAACGCCAGCAGCACAACGCGCTTGGATGGGAAAGGATCTGTTTACAGTGACCCTCGGAGCATCCTGCGGCGGCACAAGTTGTGGGAAGCGCTTGGCACGCTGGCAGGTCTCCTCTGTGTGTCCTGAATTCGCTGCTTCTAATCCAACAGGCTGTAACCAAACGCCTTGTGCTTAGAGAAATCCTGGCAAAAAGGAGGCTGGTGTGTCTGTTTGCCCCGTGGCCATCACGCTCTGCTCCTGCTCAGCAGCTCTCGGCCCGAGGAGCCTGGCTCCATGGGGCAGGGGGAGGATGCTCATCATTTTTTTGACGTTGTGTTATTGGAACAGCGTGCAGTGCTGCTCTCTTAATTTCTAGGCTGGTAAAATACGGCTGAGCGAGTGAGGTGAGGGCAAATCCTGGCACTTTTGATGAATAAATTTCTGTAGATCCCATTTTGTGCTCTGTATTTTAAGTAAACAACTGATGGACAAAAATCACTTATGAAATGATGTTGCGGCTGCATCCACTTGAGTCTAATTTCAGGGAAAGAAGAATTGATGCTGGTAAGAGAAGCGCGGGTCAGTTGGGCCCATCTACGGGTTTTCTTCTCTTCGAGGAGGCATGAGCTCAAATGAAAGAGCTGAAATCTAAGCTTATTTACATGTTGCCCGCGGTGCTGTACCAGCAGCTCCCCGGGGAAGTGCTAAACGCCAGCAGCACAACGCGCTTGGATGGGAAAGGATCTGTTTACAGTGACCCTCGGAGCATCCTGCGGCGGCACAAGTTGTGGGAAGCGCTTGGCACGCTGGCAGGTCTCCTCTGTGTGTCCTGAATTTGCTGCTTCTAATCCAACAGGCTGTAACCAAACGCCTTGTGCTTAGAGAAACCCTGGCAAAAAGGAGGCTGGTGTGTCTGTTTGCCCCGTGGCCATCACGCTCTGCTCCTGCTCAGCAGCTCTCGGCCCGAGGAGCCTGGCTCCATGGGGCAGGGGGAGGATGCTCATCATTTTTTTGACGTTGTGTTATTGGAACAGCGTGCAGTGCTGCTCTCTTAATTTCTAGGCTGGTAAAATACGGCTGAGTGAGTGAGGTGAGGGCAAATCCTGGCTCAGGTGAGAGGCTTCTGAAGTAAATACAAAACAGATTTTTTTGACGTTGTGTTATTGGAACAGCGTGCAGTGCTGCTCTCTTAACATTCTTCTTCCCCAGGTGCAGGATCCTGCACTTTTCCCTGTTGAACCCCATGAGGCTCGGGTGAGAGGCTTCCGAAGTAAATACAAAACACCTTGTGGCATGGTGACAGGCAGAACCCTCCTTACAGAAAGCAAACGTGTGAGAGCACGGAGTTGTGCTGGCTCCGTTGTATCCTCCTGCAGATCCGTGGCAGTGCAGGGGCGTTGGGAATCTTGTGGCATCCTCAGTCCGTGGGGATCCAGCCTGATTCCAGCGACCCAGTTCTGCCGGGCTGAATCCTGCCTGTGGGATTTGTTTGAGAGGGGTATTTCCCTGCCTGGTCCTCTAAAGCAGCGTTGTAAGATTTTTATATTTTAACAGATCGTATAGGGATCCCTCTGTAGTGTTCACAGATAGCTTTATGACTTTCTTTTTTAATGATGGATGGCAGACACGGCAGGAAAACAGCCTGGAGACCACATAGCTTTTCAGAGCCTGTCCCCGTTCGTGGCAGGAATGGATGTCCTGGGGGTGGGCGGTGCCACAGGAAAACTGGAGGGTCCTCAAGACTTCAAAAATGGGCTCTGCACATCATAATTGTTCTGTCCTTTCCCTGGGGCAGAGCCTTCCGTGTGTGGGTACCGTGGGTGTGGTGGCAGGAGGGACGGGGGCAGCCGGACACTCTCGGTACCTGCAGAACTCTCTGTTCAGGGTTAAACACCAATTTCTCTTACACTGATGGGTAAATCCTTCATTAAACAGAGAGTGGATTTCTGAAATGCTGGGGAAATGGGCTGGGGATGTAGCGATATCACTGAGGAAGTAATTTATCAAATTGGATTTGCTGGTTTTTCTTCCCAGATGTATTTCCTGCCTCTGTCCTCTGGGCCCCAAAGCAGGTCCCCGGGAGTTTTGGAGGAGGGGAATGAGAACTGGGACATTGGAGGGGACATCGTGCTGCCTCCCCGTGTTCGTTGGGGGTCCCCAAGGCAGCGCCGATGGGATGCTGCATCCCCAGGGCCACCCCGCCTGAGGGAGCGGGATTTGTGATGCTGAGGAAACGGAGTCAGCAATTTTTTTTTTAATTAAGTACCTGAGGTGTTTGAACCTGACGCATCCCTCATCCCCTCCCGCGCTCACTTCCCCTCCTGCAGCGCCCGCTCTCCTCGGGGAAGCGCAGCCAACGCTGATCATTATTCCAGCAGCATCCTCCCTTTGGCTCCGGTGTCGCTGCTGCTCCCGAGGGACCCGGGCGGGGGACTCCGAGCCCTCTCCCCCCCCTGCTGCCTGTTGGAAAACTTGTCACCGTGACAGTTACAATACCCCAGTTTTGACACCTGACGATGGAAATCGCCGCATAATCATGAGTGTGACAAATAGTGAGGGCCTTCTTTGATTCTTATTATGCCGTGGCAAAGTTTTCTACCCAAGCACCATTTTAAAAGCAGAAGCACTGTCATGAAGAAACCTTCTTCCATATTCTTTCCACAGAACCTTGTCATTAAATATTCAATTAGTGTGTTTTATTTTTATTCTCTTCTCCCCAGGTTCTGTATGCAGAAGAGTGTCAGACTGGTGCCAGGAGTCACACTGGATTTAATAGAGAAGTAAGCTAATACTTTATTTTTTTTTTTCCCTGTTGCCCTTAATTTTCTCATTATTTCTAGCATTTCTCTTGTTTGCGTGCGAGGGTGTTTCTTTGGAAAGCTTTTTGCAGAGCCTGTACCCATGGTATTTGTCATTTCTTGCCTCGTTTTGTGCTGCTGGAATGAGCAGTGCCCAGAAAGTGAGCGGGGCCGGGAGTTGGGGCTGTGCTGGGGCTCGGCCCTCCCTGTCCCCAGTCCCCAATGGTGGGGTCTGGTGTTAAAGAGATGAGAAGAGGAGGAAAATCTGCCCAGGGTTAACCTGGCCTTGCCATGAGACCCTTAGAGATGGTCCTGAAGTTAAAATCTATTTAGGAGTATGAAGGTGTGTAGGTCCCTGCTGCTGGTCATACGGGCAGAGCGAAGGGGAGGCTTTTTTGGTCATCTCAGCAAAGGTCACCTGAAGTTCCTCCTGAACTTACAGGCTCATCACCGACACGGACTGAGATCACCTCAGGCCACAGGATAAATGTGTTCCAGAACAATGACTACATTATGTTAATTGCAATTAACATACTGCTCAAGAGTGTATCTAATCAAAGAACATATGGGGAGGGTCAGTGAAGGTCTGAGCCTGGTCGCTCAAGAGTTGGCTTCACTGAACACTTGGATGTGCTGCAGAGGGTTAAATAATCTTAACTAATGGTTTACTGGCAGAAAAAAAAGAATTTTCTTCACTATTCTTGATTCCTGTTGGTGGTACCACAGCACACGTGTTCTTCAAAGGCTGTCTTCATGCAAAGCGTGCCAGAAGTAGCTTCCTGTGGATATCAAATATTTAAACCTCATCACCATAATCTGCTACATATATCAATTATGGAAAACACATGTTTTTTATTACAGTCTCAAGACAGGCCTAGAATATTTCCTAGGTTGTCTGTCTGTATATTGTAATTTATAATTTAATTGTCTTTAAAACTGGGGAAAGAGTTCATATTGCAATTAAGCTGCAGATTTTGAGATTAAATTAGGCTGCACCTTCTTTGAAGGGCTCAGATTTCTAATTGTCTAGGCTAAACCAGCGTCCTGATAAACAAACAGGTATATCCTGACGTGCATTTATATTACAGGTCTTTTGAGATGAGGCCAAAACAATCCCTAGTTTAGAAATAAAGATCTTTGCTGGAGCCAGGCAGTAAAACACAAAGAAAGAAGGAAGAAAAATGGTGTTGGTGGAGTACGAGGAATTTAGGAACCTCTGGCTGATGCTTCATGAGACTCTTCCATGGCTGCATCAGTGCTGAGTGTTCCTGCTGCCTTGGTTGGTCTTTTCTGCTTGGTCACAAGCCACCCTGTCCTCTGTGCTGGCACGTGTTGTGTGGCTGCTGAGTGACACAGGCTGGGACTTTGTTCTGCTTTGAAAAAAATTTGGAAAAAATCCTTAGGAATGGTTTATCTCAGTGTAGGGTGGGAATACAAAGCTGGATGTCCAGAAACAGGGATGTACAACGATGCTGTAATCTATATTTAGGGGCCTCCTCTCCTGAAATCCCATTCTCAGGAGAACAAGACCAGTTTATCACTTTCCAGGGATTTTTCTCCCTGTATCCATTTTGCAGAGGGAGGGAATTCTCTGAAAAAACATCCAGGTGATCTGGGAGCTGCTCGTGCTTCTGGGGGGGGACACTTAGAAGATGGTCTTTCCAAATGACCACCTGAATGTGGTACCACAATTCACTTTCACAGCTAAAGGAGCCAGGTCCCTTCTGTCAGGGGGTTGTGACAAAGGACTTTTTCTGAATGTCACCCCTGAGTCACGCAGGCAGCAGCAGTGTGGGAGAAACCCTCCCTGCAGCGTGTGCTGCTGCTGGTGGAGAGCAGAGAGCCTGTCTCCGGGCTGTCACTCACCGGCACAAAATCCATTTATAAAAATCACTAGAAATGACAAACTGGGGACTAAAATTAATTCCGTTTCCACTTTAAGTCTTGTCGAATGTCACGGACCGGAAATTATTAATGTTTTAATGTCTATTGATTATTGATGAGTAATAGTTGAGTAGGAGCCAATTTAAAGATGAAGTGGGAGAAAATAAAATCCCAAGATACCACCCAGCAAAAGTAACATAATTGGGGAAAATGTAGGAATTATGTTAAAATCCCAAGATACCACCCAGCAAAAGTAGAATGTAGGAATTCTGCTGCAATATAAGGAATACCTGTGGAGCACACCCTCAGAACTGGGCTGATCAGCTGCCTTCAGGATGGTCAGTGGGAGGGCAGGTGAAGGAGACCAGCTGGATAGTACCATCTTTTTTCTTTTTTTTTTCCCCAGTCATCCCAGTAGCAAATTCCAGCTACTCCAGTCCCTTGTTAGTGCCTTTTTCTCCGCTGTGCCTGGGAAGGGACCAAGGCTCTGTCATGGGAAAAGGGGGATGCAGAGCCCACCCAGCCCTGCTTGGAGCTGAGAGTGGAAAATGCCTGGAAATCATGGTTTGCTTGAGAAAGGCAGAAGGATAAAACCTGTCAAAGGATGGTCACAATTTTTCTGTGTTTAAATACACAAAATTGTTGTGGCGGGGTTAGCAAATAAGGCCAAATGCTAAACTGCAGTGGTTTTTTCTATCAAGAGACCACATTGCCTTCAAAAATCCACTGCCTGCCCGGTGCGAGGGAATACGGATGGGGCTGTGGGTATCCAGGCTTGGCAGAAATCACCGAGATTCAAAACTAGATGGAGAAAGGCATTTGAGGAAAAGAAAGAATTTCTGTTAAATTTTCAGACCAGACAGGGACAAATCTTTTGCTTCTTGGGTGAGTGACTGGGGGCAGGCGAAGGCAGAGGATGGCTGTGACACTGGCAGGACCCTGGTCTCACCGTGGCAGGGCTGTGCCATCGCGGCTGCCACACTAGAAGTGTCTTTGCTGATATTTAATCAATTATGTGCTGGTCCAAATTCTGAAATACTGCAGCCTTTTTTTTTTTTCCAATATTTATTATTTTATTTACAGTAGGAAAACTATAATTCTGAGTTTGCTGTTAGAGCTAGGTTAGGCAGCTTTCAGCCCTTTTCTTTTCTTCTAGAAAATTCAGTTGAAGGCATTAGAGCGTATTTTAAAAGGTGAGTGTTTTAATAAGTGTTATTAGCGAGGGTGTAGCAGGGATCCTCTGCCTGTTGGTAAGGTATGGCTCATTAGCACTTGAGTTGAAGACAAACTTTGCTATTGAAGATGTTATTTTGAAAAGTTTCTGTTCCATAATAAATCTGTTTTTATTGAAATGGAGTATTTAATTTTTATCACCGTTGTTACAGGGTATCAATCTCTAGTGTAGGCAAAGCCTGTTGTAAATACAAAGGGAAGATCACACTCCAAAGGCTGGTTTTCATGGCAACACTTCTTTCACATCTTTGTACCGAGAGATGACAGGACTGAACACGAGTGTACAAAGCTTTACAGCACTCTCCAACAAATAATTTAAGAACCTCAAACGTTTTGTCTTTCTCAAGTAGTTTGCCAAGGTTCCGGGAGCCCAATCACGCCTGTGTTGTTCCCGTTATTTCGTGATGAGGACACGTTGTCTCTGAGCACGTTAACTGTGATGGTCCCAGCTGAACAGCTCTCCATGCTCCAAGAGATTCCCACCACAAACATCCCTACGGTGTTTGCTGTGGTACACGCTCTCCCCTTTTTTCCCCAAAAGATGAAAAGTGAGATTTACTTAATGTTATTTTCTTTCCCCAAACTAAAATTACTGCAAGTGTTCGCAAGTATCACTTGGTACCGAGTATTTGGTATGTGATGGAGTCTCCTTCTCTGGAGACATTCCAAACCTGCCTGGACATGTTCTTGTGCGTACTGCAAGTGTTCGCAAGTATCACTTGGTACCGAGTATTTGGTATGTGATGGACTCTCCTTCTCTGGAGACATTCCAAACCTGCCTGGACATGTTCCTGTGCAACCTGCTTTGGGTGGGACCTGCTTTGGCAGAGGGGTTGGACTAGATCATCTCCAGAGGTCTCTTCCAACCCCATATCATTCTGTGATCTTGTTTTCTGATACTGTGTATCCTCATGTTATCTATATTATACCCCAAAAGCAGAGGTAACGGCGGAGCTCATCCAAAGGGAAAACCTGGCATCCTTTGCAGTAAATGCTTCCCCTGTAATTGAAGTGATTCATGGGATTTTGCTAAATTTCTGACAAGGACACTGCTGGTTACACCTCGTGCGAGCTCCTCAGTGACCCTGACATTTTGTAGTCCTCGCTGCTCACAATGGAGTGCTGTGATTTAGGTCTCTGGGAAGGCGTCTGTCAGGAAGGTGATGGAAGAAGCAATGGAGAGTCCAGAGATGTTAAATTGCAGCGAGCGGCTGAGACAGCGCTGCCCTTTCTCCCTTTTCTTCCCCTCCCTCAAAGGTAGTTTTTACAAACGAGATCTGCTTTGTCCTCCCCCGTCAGAGGCTCTGGCTGGTTGTCAAAGCGTGATGTGAAAGACACCGGGAGAAGTGATCCCAGCGACAGCAACACTCCTCGGGGAGAAATACCTTCAGCATCCGTGTGGTGTTCTGGTGATGGAGGTGCAGGGCCAAGCAGGGATTAAAAGAGGTTTTAGTTTATAGCCACAGGATGGACTTGGAAGTAGACATTGTTGCAGGGAAATGTACACACCCCAAATATTTCATCAAAAAAATGACATTAAGTAGATTTGTGTAGTGGAACTCGACAAAAATAACAACTCTACATCTTTAAGATGATGTTTAAAAGCAAGGGAAAAAAAAACATAACTAATTATTTCAAATCTTTATAAGTGTGTGAAGAAACAAACAGGAGATTGCTGTGTGTCTCTCTTGTGCCTTTCCAGTAGGTGTTGTCGTTCTCTTACTGGGATTTAGCTCCCCTCACTGGGGTGGGAGGTATGTACCCCTGAATTCCAGTGTGTGAAGATGGAATTTGTCTGCTGAGTTTAACTGGTGGTTGTTAAAACTGTCCCTGCCTTCAGTGTGTGTTTGAATGCAATCTGAGAGTTAGGAATCGGTCTCCTGTTGCCTTTGGCAGTTTAAACTTTAATTCTCAAAGATGATTAAGATCTGCTGTCATTGAGTAACACCGTGTTCAAATCCCTTCCCCAGGTCACAGCTTGTCATTAATTAGAGTGTTACAAACTGTCCTCTGCTTTCTGGGGTGAGAGTTCCAGTGGTCCCAGCCAGGAGCAGAAAATATGCTGTGTTTTTTTTCATCTGCCGATTTACGATGCTGACTTTAAGTCTTTAAACACAAAGCTAAGCATACCTTCTTCCCCGAGAAAGCAGATATTCAAGTCTCAAGGTGTTTCAGAGGTTGGGCTGCGAGCAGCAGCTTTGGATTCCAGCCTGTCATTCCTGCTTAATGCCATCAGTAAGATATGTATCAGCTCACAGTCTGCATTTAATAAAGAGAATTTAGCATGAACTGTGCACAGAACCCTCCATCTGCTGTAAAGATTCAAACTCTACCAGGAAACGCCCTATTTTGATTTCCACTGAAAACTGGCTTGAAAGTGGCCCTTCGTTTGGCTTGTTAGGGAACCTCAGCGAGGAGCGCTTTGGTTTCTAATTAATAAATTTCTGACTTGGGGAAGGCTGCTGTTGTGCTGCAGAGGGTGTTCTGCAATGCAAATATTGACGTGAATCCTCTCCGGAGCAGTGGGGTGGCCTCGTGTTCCCTCCGCCTGCTCTGGGGGATCACTTAACAAACACTTTCAGAGATGTATATTTTTCCTCTGATATCGAGACAGACAGGAATTTTTTATAAGATGCTAATTTCTAGCTGGTTTAGAAACTGTATTTGTACAAGGGAATAGGCTTCATCTGAACCTGCCTGGTGATAACTGCTGTGGGTACCAGAGGAAGAAGTTGCCATAGAGAGAGCACTTGCTTCATGTAGTTTGTCTGGATGCTGGTAGTATTTGAAAACCTGTTATGGGAGGCAACCAGGGATCAATCTGTGGGATGTCTGATGGTGGGTGCAGGTTTCTGAGGCTTCCCCATCCTCTCTCTGATACTCTCTTAGGGGAAAAAAAACTGAGGTGGAAACTGCGGGGCTGGGTGTGAGCATCCGAGCCTGGGATGGGGCTGTTGGGTTTGGCTTGTTGACCAGCTGGGGTTTTGACTATGTTTTCTTCTTTTTTTTTGCTGCTGTGAGAAGCAAATAAGCATTAGAAAGCATATTTAGGAAAGCTGATCAGGATGGAGACAGAAGCTGAGAGATATTGAAGAACAGTTTACGGCTGCCTGCCTTTAAGTAGCGTTGTGTGTGCTGGCTCTGAGCCACAGCAGATTGGGGTTTGGTGGCTCCAGTCTTACATCTTATTACAGTTGAACAAGTGTGGTATGAAATCTTTGTGCAGTTCCTGGACGAAATAAATTTGAGTGACTTACCAGTCTACAAAAGCAAGGTTATTAAGCCTTGGAATAGGCTGCCCAGGGAAGGGGTTGAAGCACCATCCCTGGAGGTATTTAGAAGATGGGTTGGCACAGAGCTTAGAGACGTGGTTTAGTGATGGTTTTTATCAGAGTTAGGTTGATGGTTGGACTAGATGATCTTAAAGGTCCCTTCCAACCTGGGCAATTCTATGATTCTAAGATCCTGGCTCTGGGAACAGCAGGATTTGTGGTAGGATGTTGCTGTTCCACCTTCACCAATTCCGCTTCCATCGAGCTGCTGTCTCTGTATTGATGCTTCCAATAATAAATGTTAAGCCCAGAGAAGCCCATTTCTCAGCTCTGACCTTCTGCAGATCTCGGGCTACAGAATTTTACCAGGTTACTCCTCAGAAGGGTCAGATATCTCCTGCTCCTCTGAAGTGTGTGTGCCTCAAGCCTTTTAGAGACAAAGTCTGAATTGCTTCCCTTTCTTTTAATGGTCAAGTGCTTTTCCTCCTTCCTCCACTTGTCTAAAGTATTTGTTGGCACCAAGTTTTTTCTCTCTTGTAGGTGTTTATCCACAATGTTCAAGTTGTTCCTTGGTAGTGTAGATAGAATGATCTTAAATCTCTCACTGTATGACATCATTCCCTATTTTTATTTTTTTTTTCTGCATCTTCTCTAGTTTGTGTGTCCTGTTTTGTAAGCAGCTTAAGCGAATGCCAAAATGTGAATATTAGGCAAAACATTCTAGTGTCAGTCTCAGTGACAAATCCCCTCTGTCCACTGGGAGCCTTGATTGAGGCTTAGGGTTAAAAATAAATGTAATAGGAAGCCTACTTGGTTTTTCTTCCCCACCTGCAGGATTCCAGGAAGGCTGAATGACCGGAGGACTCCCCTGGGGGAGCTGAACTGGATCTTCACAGCCATCACAGACACCATCGCCTGGAACGTCCTGCCCAGAGGTAAGGCTTGGGCAGGGGAATCGAGTTGTCATCAGAAGCAAGTGTTGCTTATTCAAAGTAGAAGGATGAAGAATAAGACAAATGGGACCCTGAAATAAGGAGAAAATTAAAGCCTGAGACTGAAAAAAACAGATCAGCCTGAACCTTAAGGCTAGTCAAATATTTTACATTCCCTCTTTTCTGCAAGAAGCCTTTCAGCGCCCTGATCATTAGAAACCAGACAGGTTTATTTCTACTGCCAACGCGATTGCTTTCGCTTGAATAATTTTCTTTCTTACTGTATTTGTAAAGAGCAATCTGTTTTCTTCCAGCCTTTGTTAGTATCATAAATAAAGGTGTTTTCCTCTTTGCTGGTAAGGCCATCTGTGTCCCGTGAGTAACTTCATGCCATTTCTCTACCCCTTTCTGCTGTGAATTTGTGTTTCTGGAGCATGGGATGGCCACATTTGTGAACAGTTTTCCAACTGTGCTCTCTAATGCTCAGTGCAGCATCAATTCTTCTTGGCCTCTCTAAAAGATGGCACATCTGCTGTCTTTTAGGATTCATTTTGGCTTCTCAGAAGCCCATTGAGCTGCCAGGTAATGGGTGTGTAGCTCTTGATTGAACAGTACCCAGAGGTCCTTTCCTCCCTCAATCAGTTCCAAAAACTCAGGCTGAGTTTAAGTGAAACACTGAAAGAGGAATTTTATCCAGAAAAGGCAAAAAAGAACCTGAGGTAAAAGCATTTAATCCTGTTAATGTAAAATGGAGAGTAACTGTGATGCTTTAAGGGCAGTCAGAAGGCAAGATTTGCTTTTAATAGTTGTCATATCATGTCACTGCAAAACTGTTGTAGATTCCTTGTTACTGGAATAAAATATTAACACGTTTTTAGGTTTTAAATTATTTTTGCATATTACCTACGGTACTTAAGTTACAAAGGTGTGCACCTAGTAATTCATGGGATCTCTTTGCAGATCTTTTCCAGAAGCTCTTCAGGCAAGACCTGCTCGTGGCCAGTTTGTTTCGGAACTTTCTGTTGGCAGAAAGGATTATGAGGTCCTACAACTGCACCCCCGTCAGCAGCCCCCGCCTGCCCCCCACCTACATGCACGCCATGTGGTAAGTGACAGCGCCGGGGAGATTTCAGGCACCAGAGTCAGGAAAGAGTGTTACTGCCTCAATCTCCACAGGGCTTTGCTGATTCAGTCACTGGATCAAAAATGAAAGAGCACGTGGCAGCGTAATACTCATCTCCGAGTGTATTTCTTCTCTGTGTGTACACAATTATAATGGGATTCTCTAATACAGAAGCTTCGGTTCTTCCTTCACTCCCAATAGAAGAGAAATACTTTATTTCCCACAAAGTATTAAAAGCTGGTGACCCGTGATTGCGGAGGGTGGGGAGAGAAAAATTCTTAATTTGCGTTGCTGAAATAGAAGAATGTTTTTGCTGCAGAGTTCATCTACTTCTACTGTAGCTTTTAAGATGATTAATGGCAATGGAGGTGGCACAGTTACCGAAAAGCTCTTAAGTGGGGTTTTGACTACCAAACAAATGTCCCATGAATAATAATAATAAAAATAATAATAGCAGTAATAACAAAAATGCTTGTTTTCATGGTTTTTTTATTCAGTATGTTTGAGAATAGAACAGTACAAAATTTGACCAAGTACAAAGTGGGACAGTCAAGCTAACGTAGCTCCTGTAGGAGAAGATGAGAGGTGGGTCACTGCTGAAGGGCTAACGCAGTGATGGGTAGAGGTACCTGAGGGGGCTTCGTTTGCCTGTGTTTTCAAAATCCTTTGGATAAGTTTCCTCAGTGAAATTGTGGAGGATAATAAATGTAAAGGAAGCAGGAAGGGATGATGATCAGTGTAAATCCAACGTGAGTGTGGGTGCCAGGGGGAGCGGAGGGGGAGCCCCACGGTGTCTGTGGGCATCAGGAGCCATCGCAGGGAGCACAGAGCTCCTTGGGTTATGGAAGAGCACGGGGGCCACGGGGGGACTTTGGGTGGAATTATCAGCCATAAGGCAGCCTTACTCGAGGTAGTGTTGGCACACGGCAGTCCTTAGGTGTTGGATTAGCGGCTTTTGAGGAAAATTCTTTCAGTCATTTGTAAATCTGGTGAGTTGTTATATCGTTGTGTCACACGAGGGACATTTGTAAGTGAAGAGCAGAAAAACCACTGGAGTTGCTACGGTGTCTTTCAGATGCTGTTGTCACGGGATGTGGCAGAGCTTGAGCCGTAGAACTGTGCGTTTCCAGTTGCAGTAGAACAGAACACGTTTCTACTGAAATTTTGAAATTAAACCAGTAAATTTCTAAAGTTATTTATAGCTTGCTTATTGCCAGCATATTGAAAACCTGTATTTCTAGTTCCTTATGGGAGTTTAATTCATTCTTATTGCCAGCGTATTAAAAGCCTCTATTTCTCATTCCCTATGGGAGCGTGACCTGACTTGGAGCTGGGGTTGCCATCCACAAGCTGAACCACAGGAATGGAACTGGGAAGGCCTGGATCCTGTTTTGTGTCTCTCACAGACCTGTGTGGTGGCATCTTGGACTCCAGAAACGTGTTCTTTTCTTTGCTTGTGCTGTAGTTCTCCTGGTGCACAACAATGTGCAAATCCCTTTGCAAAATCCCTCAGATCACGCAACAGGATAATGGCGTTGATTCTGCTTTTGGGGATTTACCAGAAGAAGAAATTCCTAAAGAAAATTCCTTGTGAATCCCAAACACTAGCAAAGTAGACAGCAAGGGAGCAGAGAATCCCTTGACATGCTTTATTCAGTGTCCTCCAGAAAAATGTGCACTTTGAAGCAAACCTCACAAAGGGGAAAATTCCACTCAGGTCAGAGGTGGCTCAGTTGATTATGATGAACTTTTAGTAAGGACAGATTTAGAAACTAATTTAGGGCTCGTTTAAATATTTTCTAAAAATAATCATCTGCACGTACTTAGCACCTTTCATTCAAGAATTTTCCGATGGATCCCTGATCTGAAACCTCCAAACCCACTTTGCTGTTCAGATAAACTGGGTGCTGGGGCTGGAGGGCAGGAGAGTTGGCCAAGGGAGACTGGAAAAAAATGGGAACTTCAAACAACGTGATTTGATGGTCACATTGACTCTCCATCTGCATGGTTGGGTGGGGGGATGAGACAGCAGGGTTTTGCTGATGGCTGTTTTATGGGGACTTTTCATAGATTTCTGACGTCAGACTGTGTTGAGGGAGCGAGTCCAGGAAGGTGTCAGCAGTGGTTTGGTCGGCAAGTGAGGGGCAAGAACATCCTCCAGGGTTCTCTCCTGCACTGTTATAAATGCTTAATGACTGCAAATAGCAGCTCTGGTGTGTGTAGCCCCTGCTCCTCAAGGATCTGACTTCAGGGGACTTCCCCACCCCTCTTCCTCCCCTCTCCTGTGCTTTTTGGGCTGTTGATTTGGGTTGGTTTAGGGCCTCCTGCCTTTCCCTGGGATCCCGCGTGCGCAGAGGGTGCGTTCCTGGCTCAGGTTTGGGTTGTTGCTTGCAGCCAAAGGCACGGTGCAAGGTTTGAGCTTCTTCAGTACGTACAGGCATATATTGTCCTCTGGATGCTCCTCTGGCTTCCTGGGCTTTGCTTCTCCATTTACAACAGTAACACAGGGTTTCTTTGCTGTTACGGACATGGGCTGTTCTGCAGGTCAGTTGCCTTGTGAATAGTTAACACCTGCCCCTTCTCAGACATTTCCTCTTTATCTCTTTTCCTTTCCTTTGTCTCTGCTCGTTTGACAATTCTGCCCAAGCCATTTTCAAACATCTCATGGTTCGAGGACCTGGCACTGTTGTAAGGGAAGCACTGAGGCTCCTGGAGGCAGGAGCTGCTCTTCCTTTTGGTTTAGTCCTTCTGAAGACAACTTTAAAAAATTTAGTCCTATTAGATTGTTGTTCTAGTCATTTCATTTGGGAGACCACTGCTCCCTGCTCTGTTAATTATCCTTTTTTACCTGAACGATGGAGGAAAAACGAACACTTAATTTTTGAGGGAAAATTTGACCCCCAGTCTGTCAATCTTTTCACTTCACCAAGGAGGGCACCCTGTTGGGGAATCGGGAGAGCTGATCCCTGTGACCCTGCCCTGCTTGGTAAGCTCTGACATGCTCCCTCCTTCCTGGCTTTCTTCTCTTGCCTTGCTCTGTTTTACCTGCTTCGGCACAAACCCTTCTGGGCACGGGCTGTTTGTATTTGTGTGGTGCCTCGCACCGTAGGTTGTTGGCTGCTGCAGGCATTGCTATAATAAAAGTATTAATATTAATATCTATTGATTGACTGGCTCTGCTATTCAGCTTCCAGAGCGGTTCCCTCTATTGTGCAGTAAGAATAGGAGGCCTGATGCTCTGTCAGCATCTTGATCTCTCCTGTGATGGATTATGGTTTATACATTACTGCTCTTGGCAGCGAGTTATATTCACGGCCTTTGAAAAGGCCTAATAATGTGTTTGGAAACAGTTCCTAACATAGGTCGTATATTAAAAACAAAGTACCTTAATTATGCTTTGGAAGAGCTATGATTTGTCCAGAATAGAAATATTGCAATAGCGTATACGCCGACCGTGAAATTCTAGTTGAAAGAAAGTCATAACGGACTGGAAATAAAATAAGCTTGGAATTCTGGCTGAAAAGAAACCCATAATAGAGCAACCCAATTACAGGTGGGAGAGGAGCTGGAGTCTCTGAAGGCTGTGGGAGCGTGGAGGAAGGATGGGGGGCTGCTTGGCAATTTACGGCGAAATGAGGCTCATTTAGTTCCCCAGAAAGACTCGGGAGCTCAGCAGGAAGAAAGTGACTGTTTGAGAGGGTATTTGGGACTGTTTGACATTTGAAGGATCAGCTTAATTCAGATTACGCTGCTGATTTCACCAGATTTGTGCGTGTCTATGTGTTAGTCTTAACGTCTCCGAGACCCATTAACAGACTACAAATAGTTTAATGGGGAGAAATGGAGGACAAAAATAGCAAAGCGCGTGCTTTAAGTTGCGGCTGGAGCCAGGGAACGTGTTGGTTGGAAAAAAGGGAGGATTTCATTGTTGTACCAAATATTCATAGCAATAAATATATGTTAAAAATAGCCGTGTCTGAGCAGCTTCCCAGCTGTCTCCCCTAAAGCAGGCTTAGGGAGGTCACCGTGTCACTGAAGCAGGTGAATTCAGGCTGAAATCGGGAAAAATCAATCAAAACGGAGTATGTTGTTGACTTGTACTTGCAGGAAAACAGCAAACATGAAAAATCTCGTCCAACATACTTGAAATACTTAACAGTTCCAGAAATACAATTCAAACCAAGTAGAAAACGGGGTGACTGAGCTCCAGGACTACGTGTGGCTTCAACTTCTCTCTGGTTGCTCCTCAGCACGACCGTCCCAGCACCAGATACTCATTCCCACTAATGTATCTGCAGTGCAATAGAATACAAACTTTTTCCAGAAGAAGAGAGAATGTTAAAGCACATCAATAATATAGTTTAAATAAAGTTTAAACAGTCCTGCTGGGGTGAAGCTGGTGTTGGGCTGAGGGGGGAGATAGATGGAGTGTATCTACTACGTTCTTTAGTAGCATAGTGCTACCAAAGCTGAAGCCCTGCGATATTTCAGTAGGGCATTGCCCAGTGGATGCATCACAGCGTCATCTTCTCTCAAGGAGGGCTGTGGGGCCATTGGAAGAGCCACGGTGAGGGAGGGAGGAGGCAGGAGTGATGCCGAGGTGTTTCCTGGCTCTTTCTGCACCCAGTGTAGGGAAACAAACCTTCCAAAGCGCTCTGCAAGCAGCCGCCTCCGCCCAGGAGGCAGAGAGGTAGTGATCTCTCGGGTTGGCTTTCATAAATCACTTCTAGGATGCAAGGCCACCCCTCCCCGTTCCCTGCTGCTCCCTAATTTATCTCTTGTTTGTGTGCTAAAGTGCAATATTAGTTCCAGGAGCACGTCTGCAAGCGCCCACCTTTCTGCTTCCCCTTGGCATATTGGAACAGTCAATCACTGCTCCTCCCCACCACCAGCCGGTACTTTCACCATGACTGTACAAGTGTTTTTCCTCCTCTGTTCCTTTACTCCGTGGCGTTAGTCCTTCACCACTCACTTGTGGCTTGTTTTGAATCTTCTCATTATTGTAAAGCCTGTTTAATGCCATCATCTGTCTTGCCAGCACAGTGAGTTACCACCGTGGCAGGTCGTGTGCAGCCTAAAGCCTCTCGAGCATCGTGGAAAAGCTGGAGAATCCTTGGAAGAGCTGGGTTGATTGGAGTCTCCCATGGGCAACATGGCTCAGTAGCTTCAGGCTGTGATGGGCGCTGGGGTCAGGACGTGCTGGTGGTGGTTACTCTTTTGAAGGACTGAGTAACACTGGCTTCATGGCTTCATTGATTTTTCATGGCCTGGGTTTAGAAGTATAAAAAGAGATTTTTGTTTTAATCTACTAAAATCTCTTAAAATCTTTGTTTGTTCTTTCCAATAACACTTAAAACCTTTGAGATTTGACCTTGCAGGGCTGCTTTGGACACTTGTGTAGCAGTATTGGTGCTTCTTACCTAAAATGACCGAGGAGCTCAGCACCTTAGCTCTGTTCCTCTGCAGTGCTGTGACTGCACTGAATCCTTTCACAGGCAGCCAGAATGAGACCAGTTGCCTCTGATTTCCAAGCTATTTTTCTCCTGTGTTAGTAAAACTTCTCTCAAAGGCACTGTGTATTGGCATTTTCTACCATTTGGAGAATTTCTTTAGGTGTTATTACCCTGTTCCTCCAAGAAACCTGGAAGTCAGAAATATTCATTCTTTGCTTGAAGTAAAATTATCTTTATATTTGCACTAATTGACTTTGCCTCTGCCTGAACCAGGAATAAATCTCTCTCTCATCAGCTCTGCGTAAACATTTTGTCTCCGGCATAGGTCTTTATTGAGCATGTGGGAAGCATTTGTTGCCTGTGCTTTGATTATCTCTTGATTACCTCTTAATTATATTGGCAGCATATTGTCAAGTGGAAGGTGAGTGCTGTGAAGCAGAGGGATGGAGTCTGGGGCAGCTAAAACAAGCAGCATCTCTTGAATCCATAGGAAAAAAAAAAAAAAAGCAAGAGCCTTATAGTTTATTTTTCCATCTAATTGGAGGGATTGTTTTGGGCTGAGAACAGCTGCCGGTTGGGCTAATGGGATGGATTTTGCTCGGCAGTTGTTCTAATGGAAGGCTTTGTTTGACTCCAAACAGAGTGATTTAAGGACTTATTAGAGCAGGTGACTAAAACACACTGTATTGATTATCACCTATGGCCTTACGTCTGCAAATGTTCCTGGGAGAGGAAAAATTGCTGAGCCTATTGATGTTAACACACGATGGCCACGAGCCATGGAAGAGCAAATGTGTCTGGAGAGTAAATGAGTTTCTTTTGTGTAAGAAACCCTGCGGGTGGTGGTTTAACTCCTTTGCCTTTCAGAGTGCATAAATTCATGTGTTAAAATGAAAAGTGCCTGGAACGTCTATGGATAAAGTAGGGATAATCGCTTCTGGGGTAAAAAGAAACCGTTTCACTTTTTTAAAGGTGTTTTAGGAACTTGGGAGACCAAATGCGTTTATTGCAGTTTGTGAACATTTTGCAGCAGACCGTTGGCAGCTGAATCAGCCACAACATGGTCCTTGGCCACTGTATGCCATGTATGTGCTGTAATAACTGTAATACTGAAATCACAGAATTACATGGGGCTGGAAGGGGCCTCCGGAGATCATCTCCTCCAACCCCCTGCCAGAGCAGGTCCACCCAGAGCAGGTCCCACAGGAACGTGTCTGGGTGGGATTTAAATGTCTCCAGAGAAGGAGACTCCACCACCTCTCTGGGCAGCCTCTGCCAGGGCTCTGCCACCCTCACAGGAAAGAAGTTCCTCCTCATGTTTAGATGGAACTTCTTATGGTCAAGTTTGTGCCCATTTCCTCTTGTCCTGTCCCTGGGCACCAGTGAAAAAAGACTGGCCCCATCCTCCTGACACCCACCCTTGTAGTATTTATAGGTGTTGATCAGATCCCCCCTCAGCCTTCTCTTCTCCAGACTAAAAAGCCCCAAGTCCCTCAGCCTTTCCTCATCAGAGAGATGCTCCAGGCCCCTCATCATCTCTGTAGCCTCTGCTGTGCCCTCTCCAGCAGTTCCCTGTCCTTCTGGAACTGGGGAGCCCAGGGATCATTTTACTCCCCTCACCTTGTTGCTCAGCCTGATATGATACTGGATTAGACCTTCTCGCCGTTTTCTGAATACTTTTCATATGTTATATCTGTCTTTTTTTTCTTTTAAAATTAAGCATTTCTAAGCCAGTCAGACAACACTGTTCTGTCCAGAGACTTGTATGATCAGAATTTAAATTTACCCTGATATTACTTAGGGATAACTCGTAATGACTTCTCTTTCCTCTCTCACCTTTTTCTTCAGGCAAGCGTGGGACCTTGCAGTTGATATTTGCCTTTCCCAATTACCTACAATTATAGAGGAAGGAACTGCCTTTAGGGTAAGTTGGATAAAATCTTGAAACGTTGTGTGCCCAGTTTAACCCATTATTTGAAACCCCAGTGCAGCGCATCACTTTTGCTTTCTTGAGTCTTGAATTGTTGCAGTTTAAGGGTTTATATTTTTGGAAGATTGTAAATGTCTGCTCATCTTGCTTAGAGGAATAGACCGAAAATCAACTTTAAGTTCCTCACGTGTCTGATTCAGCTGCACCTGCTGGTGAGGAGGAAACCCCTCCTCGTAGAAATGGTGCCTGAGACCTGACTCTTGCCATTTCAGAGCACTCAGTCACATCTGATTGCCTGTATGAAGTCCTTTTACTGCGTTACAGGTGTCAGAAGTGATGGAGAGCTAAATAAAAGGCTTGAATTAAAAAACTGATAAATAGGAGGTAGCTTCTTCCAATCCAAAGCAGCGCATCTGAATGGGCACCTGTTTGCAGGAGAGGTTTATGGCAGCCGGGGAAGGCTGAAACGTGGCTGGACATATTTTTTGGTGTTTTTTGGATTGTATTTGCTGTGGACTGGGCAGAGGCAGCACCGTGTGCTGCCACGGGAGTGATACTGCTCTGCAGAGCAGATAAATCCACTGCTGTTCTCTCTGCTGCATCCGTGGAAAAGATTAACCAGATTTCCCTGAGACAGTTTTTGGTATCTTTTCCTGTTTCTCTATTCTTTCCTTCTCCATTTTCAAACATTTCAATTAGAGAATGCCAGCGTATTTAAAATCAATTGGAAAATTTGTATACATTAAAGAAACCTCAAACAAATGTTTGCAAATGAAAAAGAACAGTTTGGGGAAACGATAAACTGTGTGAGTCTGTAGGTGCCAAAACTAGTTGTTTCACATCTTTTTTTTTTTAAATTTTTTTTTTACCCAAACCTGCATTCCCCTTCTGGCTCCCCCAGCACAGCCCCTTCTTTGCGGAGCAGCTGACGGCGTTCCAGGTGTGGCTGACCATGGGGGTGGAGAACCGCAACCCCCCGGAGCAGCTCCCCATCGTTCTGCAGGTGAGTGGCCAGGTCTTGCAGCTCCCCCACCAGCTGGATGGCGTTTGGGTTCATAAACTACACGTGGGCTCCTTCAGGATTAATTAGAGCTGATGGCGTGTTTCCTAGAGCTGTGCAGATAAAGACAAAGGGCTTTTCTTCCCCCACACCCCCGTGTTCCCACTGGGCAAGGCTTCCTGCTCTAGTCCCTTTGCAGCTTTGGCAGGACCCGGCTCTGCCGCCTCCTCTGCAGCAACAGTGAGACTTCGTCAGGGAGTAGCACATCTCTCTTGTTTTCTCCCGTAGCATCTCCTCTTACGTGCCAGCTCTGTCAGGCACAGACTGATTTTTTTCTCTCCATTTTCCGAGAGTAGAAGTTACTGCAGTGTAACTAGTTTGGAAATGGCTCTTTATCCGTCTGGTTCAGCCTGGGAAGCGTTCCCTTTAATGCCACGCTGAAATTTTGCTGCAAGAACACAGAAACAAGTCTCAGAAGACCATGCCTGGAAGCAATGTAGAGCTCTGGTAGGCATTGGCTCAGACTAGACAAAGTTCATATGCATAAAGGAGAAGTAAATCCAGAAGAAATATAACACCTCGTTTCAAATAATATTTTATGGCAAGGCACATATTACAATTGTCACCTGCTCTTGTCCTCTCCTCCCCAGGAGTTTGTATTGACAGAAATATAAACCCTCATCAAGGTACCTTGGTCTCTTGTCTACCGGGTAGCAGAAGTCTTTCTGTTTAAAGGAACATGATTCCAGTCGCTTGGATGTACAAAGATGTGGGATTTTTTTTCACTAAGTGGAGAAGACTCACCTTCCTCTGTTAGTGACCAGCTTGTTCCGTGACTGACAGCACCATCAATCTCTGCACGACCAAAGCATAATTTTCCTGAGCCTCCCGAGCCCGGAGAGATTGGTTGGATAAATATACATGTGGTTTATCTCTGTCGGTGCAATGGGAGAAGGCAGGTTTCTGTTCCAGCAACAACTTTGCTGCTTTCCAGCGAGTTGTTTGGCAGCAGAGGGCTCTGCAGGTAACTTAACCTTGCAGTGGAATTGAGAGGTCACCTGGCAAAGGAACCTGCTTTCCTTCCTGGAGCAAAAGTGAGCTAGGGCAGTGTAATTATTCATATAATTAAAGCATATTAATTGTGTAGTGGAATAAGATTCCTTGTTAACAGGTTTGAGATGCTTTGAATCAGAGACCAACTGATGAAGAGAGGGAAGGAAGTGCTTTTAAGACCCCTTTTGAGTATCTCTTAGCTTTGACCCCATGGGAGTGCTGAGACTCTGCTGCTGGAGCCTGACAGAGGCTCTTTGCCCATTTGAGATGTGTGCCCCTGGGGCAGGAGGGTGTCTTGAGTGCCAGGGCCATCTGTGATGCCAGCCATGAAAGATTGGACTTGTCAAGGACAGGGAAACGGTCCTTTGTAAGTGGCCTTTTATTGACTTCAAGAAGTTGCTTTCTGTTCTGAATTGTGGCTGCGTGGGGCAGGTTGGCCAGAGGTGGCCCCTGGTGTGGAGGATAGAGGAGTTGCCAAGGAGAAAGTGGCACACACAGCCTGAGGAGCCCGAGGAGATGCTGGGTGCTCGTGGAGGTACCTCCTGCTGTATGAGCTCCAGTGCACGTTGACAAGGGGTTCCCTTGCTCCACAGAAAGCCCTGCTGCAGCCTCCTCCTTCCATCCTGCATTTGTCAGGACATTCCTGCTAAAATTTGGATTTTTATATTATCTTCTTGTGTCCTGGTTAATCTCTAACTTTTACTTGTGGACATAATTAGCTTCCCTGAGTCTGTTTAGGAGTGATGCTGGGCAGATGTCAGGGAGGGACGTGGGGCGGTGCTGTGGGCCTGCACTGCAGACTCTACCGATTCCACCATTTCCCTAAAAGATCATAAATTGTGCAGAGATTCCCCACGTCCTCATCCGAGTCTCTGGAATTTGTGTCAGTTTTGGCTTCAGGTGATTGTGCAAATCAGTTGGGGAGGTGGGAATATAAAAACCTGAGAGAGACTGATGGCTTTTTTGGTTTTGAGAATAATGAAACGGAGCTTCTAAAATTACGCACGATTTGATAAAGGTTCTTGTGGGATGCAGGCAGCGGTGAGGTGGGGTTTGATATCTTCACCTGGAAATCTTCAATTACATCCTTTTGTTTTTCCCAGCTACGACAGAATTTGTGGATTTAGGTGGGTTTTTTTCTGAAGGTCAAATATAATGCTGTGAGAGCGCCCTGCACCCGGCGTGTCCCCGTCTGTTGGTTCAGCCGCCCCAGCTCCCACCCTGCCCTGGTTTCTGCTACTGCTTAATCTCCAGCAGCTGCCCCCGTTATTCCCATCCTGGGCATCTTTAAAGCACGTTGTTAATCGTGCCAAGTCTTGTAGTGAGGTTATGGAATAGGCTGGTGCCAACTAGGGCAGGATGACCAAAATCCTTTCTCTGATGACCTGTCCCGAGACCTGAGCTCTGATATCGGGAGGTGAAACGATTAGAGGAGTTAACACATCCTCCTCTCGTCCTCTGGACTCTCTCTGCACAACTTCAGTATCAGTCAGCCATAGCAGGAGACACGAGCCACGTAATTTAGTTATTCTTCAATATCAAACATGAAAAATAATTTAATTTGAGTATGCAGTAAACACGAGGAGGGGATGGAATTGGGGAGGTAAATCAGCGAGTCTCTCTCCCCGAGACCCATGCTGAGGGATGTTCCTCAATTGAAACTGAGGATTAAATGGTGCATTCCGATATCTTACATCTGCTAAGGAGATTAAGAACTGAAAGTCTGTCTGTTAATATTTCACACCAGGGTAGGTATAAGCCAGTAAACTACCACCTCATTATCGTTGTCAGACTCCGTTTTAATGAGATTTTTATTAACGACTAGTGTGACCTTTTGCTTCCCTCTTAAGTCTCTTACATCGATTTGCCAAGGAAAGCAAAGCCTCTTTTTCTGCTTCTGAGCTGTTTTGAGAAATGGGAGGCTGGAACTTTTCCTCAGCTCTGGGTCCTCCCTGCGGGTACAGCCGTGTTCCCGCTTTGCTGGGGAAGGGCGGTGAGAATATTTGGGATCCATGGGGGCTGCTTCCACGGAGCAGGGCTGTGGGGTGCAGGCACCCCGGCGCTCGAGGGAAGGGAGTGGAGAGAAGCAGGGGAGCAATGCTGGGGAGATGGGGTGGCTGTATTCCCAGGAAAACACCTGGGGGTGTCTGCACCGTGATGGCGAGAGCGCTGTGTCACCCCCCGGTGACACTTGCTCAGTGGGGTGATACTTAGCAATGGTCAGGCTCTGTCTTCCAGCTTGTTTGCTCAGTTTGTTCAGAGTCAAATAAAACTCTGAGGTCTCCTCTGTGGTCACGAGGGGTTTTGTTCTCTTTAGGAATAACTCTGGTCCCTCTCTCCGCAGGTGCTGCTGAGCCAGGTACATCGGCTGCGGGCGCTCGATCTGCTGGGGAGGTTTTTGGACCTGGGTCCCTGGGCAGTGAGCTTGGTGCGTGGAGGTTGCGTACGGTCTCGTGAAAGTCTTGATTTCTCTATCAGTATAGGCGAAAAAATACAAATGATGATTTATGGAAGGAAGGCGTGGAAGATATTCCATGGGTTTGACAAATGACCAGGGGTTTTGCGTGTTCTTCATGCGTGGAGAAAGCATCCCTAAAAGAAAAGGGGTTTGTATTAATCAAGAAGGCCAAGTAGCTGTTCATTTGCATTCGTAGGGAGAGGATTCCCTTGGGGAATAGTTTACTGTAAAATATCGTAAGGGACAAAACAGGAGAAAATACCTGGGACAAATGAGAAGGTTTGTCATGCAAAATAAAGAACAAAAACCAGGTCATAGGAGTATCATCTGCTCTCAGCTTACTCGCTGCATTATTTTCTTTATCTATGTGGTCGCTGGATTTTATAAGCTCTTCTGAGGAGGAGGCAGCTGCCTTCTGCATTTTGGAAAGCAGCTAGCACAGCGTGGGTAATAAATAAGAGTTAAACAGGGGAGCGGTTTAAAACACTCTTGTAAATGGAGCTATTTGTTGATAACGATGTTGAAGATGAACCACCAGCTGGCTGTGGAATAGCTCTATGATGGGGCTTTTTACTGGTTTTCTTTACCTTCCTCCTTCATCTCAGCCAAGACTCCCTTCTCCAAGCTTTCGCAGGCAGCTCAGCCCTCAGTGGTTGGAAAAAATTGTGTATTAAAGGTGATCTTAAGCCCTCGGGGTTATAAACTTGGAGGAGGATCGAAGCAGAGCTGCAGGTCAGCCACCCTGGCCTTTGCTCCAGCCTTGATCTGCTTTATGGTGCTGGTTGGCCATCCCACTGGGCGATACTGGGCGGACTGGGTGGGTGATGACTGGGTGGGTGATACTTCCTTTCCATTGCAGCCTGGGAAGGGGGGGCTGCAGTCACAGGAGGATTCTCAGGCATTGCATGTCCTCCTGTGAGCATTGTCTCTAGTCCCACAGAAAAGGCTTGGTAAAAAGCCTGTGTAAGGCGAGAGGCCTCTTTAATTTCCAGTGGGAGGACTGTAATTATTGAGCTTTTGCAATATGTTTACTTGAGAGAGCAAATGGCCCCAGCTGAGGAGAGAGCAGCGTATCATGAAGCATAAAATAGCACAGGCTGCAACGAGTAAAAGCCAGTGCTAGATTAACTCCGAGTCTCTGTGGACCAAAAGAGTCTGAAAATATCTGGTGACATCCAAGATTAAAACGAGCAATAGACAAATACACAGGGATGCCCTTTTTACTAGAAATGTATGAAATTGTTTTCTACTGAATTTCTCACTGTGTGGTTAAATAAGCTGCAGCTCAGCAGAGCACCCGGCGCTGCCGCTGCGGAGACGCCGAGCCCTTCACCGGGGTTTGCTCTTCTCTCTGCCCCCCCAGGCCCTCTCTGTCGGCATCTTCCCCTACGTCCTGAAGCTGCTTCAGAGCTCGGCTCGTGAGCTGAGGCCCCTCCTCGTCTTCATCTGGGCCAAAATTCTGGCAGTGGACAGCGTGAGTACCGTCAGCTTGGCTCTGTCTTTGGGTTTGCAGCACCCTTTGCTTCATCCAGTTGCTTTAGAATTTGAGACTTTCTCCTGAGGTCCTTCAGAAAGACGCTGCGTTGTCTGGAGACCAGCGTGTTATCTCATTAATTTATTTCATGTGCATAAAAGCCACTTTTGGAACTCTGTGAATGGGCAGCCCCCGATAAGGTGCTGACACCGGGGGGTTCAGCAGCTTTGCTCTGTACGTTAACGCTGCAGCATCACAGAACATCTCACAGGTCACCTCTGGTTCCAGGGTCCAGGTGCTCCAGGTAAAAGCCTGGAGGGCTTTATCAGGTCTCACTGGTTGCATCTGCATTGGGGAAGAAATCACTTTCTTTGCTGAAAGGGCTTAAAACGTGCTCATCCCTCCTGTTCCACCTTCCCAGGAGAGCGCGGGCACACGCTCCTGCTCCCCCTCAATTTATTCACTTTGTGTTCTGTTTTGACCATTCCTGTCAAACGGGCTGGGTGTAGTCCTCAGACACAGAACTCTTCTAGGAAAAAGTCAAAAACAATTTTTGGTGACTTTTAACTTATAAATCCAATTCCAAGTCCAACGTACGTGGTGGTTGGCACAGGAGTAGTTCTCCCCTGCCCCGAAGCCAGGTTTTTCCTGCCATGATCCATGATTCTGATCTTCTCTACAATATCTTAGCACCTTCTGGGATGAGGTTTAAAAACTCAGCCCTGATTTTTAAAGGTGGCCTTAGCCAGAGCTCTGGTTTGTGGGGATTAAAATAAATAATTAAGCAGGTAAGTAATTGCAGATAAATCTGTATAGTTGTACATATGACTCTGTGGTTTGTGGGTGCAATTAGTTGAGCAATATAAAATTATTAGGAGCGATGCACACAGTTAATTGCAGGCACGATTACAAGCTGATATGAAATTGTCTGAACTGCTTCTAGAAGTTGGATCTTGCCTGTTTGGGGGTTTGTTTTTGTTATATCTCTCCCATTTCAGTATGGAGAATAATATTGAATTTGTTGGAATTTTTCCCCGCTGTTGATCCAGCGTTGTCAGGTTTAGTTTTATAAATACATTTTCATTAACATCCTAAGAGGATTTTGGAAAGCAAAGAAAATGAAAACTATTCATCTTAAAGCTACTCTTGAAAAGCTCATTTTTGATGCAGCCCCAGGTAGGTGTCAGAGCAGGCTCATGTATAATTTACATGGTGTGTGGTGCCGTCCTTCCCTTCCTCGGGAGGTGAAGCCAAGCTGAGAGGGCTCTTCCCCCTTACCCTCCCCTGCGGGTATTTCTCCATCCCATCTTCTATTTTATTGCCTCTCTCCTTTGGTTGGCCGCACTTTAAAAGAAAACAACAGCAAAAAAAATGTTGTATTAGGATTTCTGTGTCTCTCCCGGGCTCTTCACACAAGGGGGTGAGTGAGAAAGGAGGACGGGGCAGCTCCAGGGGACAAAGCTCTCACTCTGGAAAGGGAACAAATATTGGAGGTGATTCTACCCCTCGACACTGCTTTTGTGAGACCCCACCTGGAGCACTGTGTCCAGCTCTGGAGTTCTCAGCACAGGAAGGACGTGGACCTGTTGGAACAGGTCCAGAGGAGGGCCACGAAAATGCTCAGAGGGTTGGAGCACCTCTCCTATGAGGACAGGCTGAGAGAGCTGGGGTTGTTCAGTCTGGAGAAGAGGAGACTCCAGGGAGACCTTATAATGGCCTTCCGGTATCTGAAGAGGACCTACAGGAGAGATTTTGAGGGACTCTTGATCAGGGAGGGGAGCTGTAGGATGAGTGGTAATGGTTTGAAACTGAAAGAGGGGAGATTGAGATGAGATCTTAGGGAGAAATTCTTTGCTGTGAGGGTGGTGAGACACTGGAACAGGTTGCCCAGAGAAGCTGTGGCTGCCCCATCCCTGGAGGGGTTCAAGGCCAGGCTGGATGGGGCTTGGAGCAACCTGGTCTGGTGGGAGGTGTCCCTGCCCAGGGCAGGGGGTTGGAACTGGATGATCTTTAAGGTCCCTTCGAACCCAAACCATTCTCTGATTCTATGATATCAGAAACTAAAAGAATCCTTTCATGTTATTTGCTAAATATCAATACAGACAAGTCTTTACCCTCCTCTGCTGAACACAAGGTTTGGCCACGTGTCATTGGAACAAATTCAGTTCCAACCAAAGTTTACCAAAACCCAGGTAAATGTTGATAATGTTTGGTAACCAGCACCCTCTGAATCTTAAATACTTTAATTTGAAGGGGAAAAAAAATAAATCTGCCCACCTGTAATAAGGATTGTAATCGGGAATTTAAGCAAGACCAAAAAAACGTGCACATTAAACAACTGAAAATGTGAATGGTGCTGAAGGGGGACTGTGAAAAGAGATCTTCCTGCTCCAGAGAATTGGGTGAAGACAACAGCAAATGGACATTTCTCATACTTTTTAAATCAATGGGGTGACATAAATAGTATGGTTACTCTCCAGATGTGTCCTTTGTTGGCAGGACTGTGGCCACCACTTCTCATCTTGTCATTAATACAAATACACAAGTTACATGTTCCCTGAGGGTGATGTGGTGGGGCAGGGGGGGTTTGCTGCCCAGGACCCCCCGAGCTGTGGCAGTGCTGTTGTATTCTGGAAACTGGTAGGATTTTTAGGGACAAATTACAATTCCCATGTGTTGTACTGAGGGGACAGAGGAGATTGATGCCATGGTTCTTCCCCAGCACTGGGAACTTCATATTTGCTGTAAGATCTGAACTTCCACACCGAGCCTGCAACTTGTTTTGGCCGTGTGGTACCAGGATTCACAAGTGTAGCTGGTTATTCCCGAGGAGGTCGGTGTTCCCAGTGCCTGGTTCCATGGTGTCCCCAGGATCTGAGCAGGGAGGGCTGGAGCAGGAACACTGGCTCCAGAGGAGCTGCCTCCTCCCTCCAGCCCTCGGGGATGTGGGTACCAGCATCAGCCCAGTGAATGGGTATGGAGATGGGCAGCCTCCTCGCCATCGGTGCCCGTTTGCCCACATTACAGCCAGGAGGCTGGGTTTTGTAAGGAACAGTCTTCCCACGGAGAATGGAATGGGGGGAGAAAAGGCAGTGCAGGTTCTGTGCAGCGTTACAGAGGAGTTGGGAAAGCCTCTCTTAGCTGCAGCCTGGCATCAGTCCATTCCCCCTGCCCTGCCAAAACCAGCAGCGCTACTCCCTTCAGCAATAAAATATTCTCTTGCATCTCTGCCTCGCCAGCCCCTCTGCTTTCAACCATTAGTTCCCTCCCTCACCTTCTACGCCTGATAAAAAATACATGATGCTGTCTCTGGCGTGAAGCACACAGCAGAAGCACAGCCCCAGGGGGGGCAGATTGCCCAGTTGGTGTTTCCTTCCTTAAATTTTTGCTTTCGTAGTACGTATTCCTTCGGTTTGACCCCGATACGTCAGCCCGTAACCAAAGGTTGCAGCAATGATCAGCAAACCTGAGCTATGGTAGGCTCGTTGCCTTGGCCTGGGAGTGGAAATCAAGGGGAGAATTCAACAAGGGGCTTTTAGAAGATCTAATCTTACATAATTTTTCTTTTGTCAAATAAAAAGAAAAAAATTAAATAAAATTAATTGGGTTCTCCTCGGTTTTGCCTTTGGTGGCTTTCAAATATCGGTGAAGGTTTAATGTGAGACAGAGACACAGACAATTTAACTCTTCTCCGAAGCAGGAGGCCACATTTTCACTTACTGTTCCTGTCATCCTGGGGGTGGCAGAGGGTTCCCTGGGGGTGGCAGAGGGTTCCCTGGGGGTGGCAGAGGGTGCCACGCTTCAGACACCACTGTCCCCATCAGCCCTTCTCCCAGGGGATGTTTGGCTGTGCCCCCCATGGAGGGCTTGCGCTTTCTTTGCCTTCTCAAATGAAAATAAGATTTGAGAAAAATTGCTAAGACGTGAAATATTCTTACCTCATTGGAGGAAAAACTATTCTCATGTTATTGTACTCATTGTGTTTTTCTCTCTCTCGGGTTTTTCAGTCGTGCCAAGCTGACCTCGTGAAGGACAATGGTCACAAATATTTCCTCTCTGTCCTGGCAGATCCTTACATGCCGGTAAGCACAAACCATCCTTATTCAGACTCTCCTGGTGTTTGCTGAGCTTGTCCCAGCTGCTCTTGCTGGTAGGACACAGCTGGTGCTGAGGCAGGACTATGTCCCACCTCGTCTCCCGTGACCCCCCTGCTCTCCTGGGGGGGGATTGCTGAGCGACCAGGGGAGTTAAAAATGCTCCTGAGGTGATGGAGCCAAACCAAGCAGGAATTTGCAGACTCATCTGAAGTCACAGCAGCATGGGTTGCTCTCTGGTGGTGGGAGCTGGGGGGAGGTCTGGGCACAGAGGCAGTCAGTAGTTCTGGGGCTCTGCTGGTCTCTGCAGACGTTCTCTGTGGGTTCCTGCAATAGGGGTTTGTACCCCATAAACGGGGGCTGGCTGGGAGGATGGTACTGGCCATCTGCTGGAGTCTCTGGTGGCACTGGTGCCAGCGCTGCACAACAAGAAAATTCTATCTCGCTTCCCCCTCCCTTGTTCCTTTAATGTGATACAAACTGCGCTTAGAACAATCCCACTTTTCAGAAAGGATGGGTTAGAGTTGTTCTCTGACCTGTTTTCTAGATAACAATTAGTTGTTTGTTGTTTTAAGGCTGAACACAGGACCATGACGGCTTTTATCCTGGCTGTAATTGTGAACAACTACACCACGGGGCAGGTGAGTCCCAGCACCCTTCACTCCCTCCTGCCTCTCCTCTGCCCTCAGCCCTCACTTCCATAACAGCCTCCTGGAAAATTGAAATAGGAGATTGCTTTGCATTATTTTTGTGTGGATTAAAAGAAAAATTGCCCTGGAGGTGTGACAAACACATCATGCACCTGGAAGTGGAGGTTAAGGACACTCGGAGCTGCCCCTCCAGGGCCATTAAAGAAATAGTGCCGGTTCCTGTCAAGTGGAAACTTGATGGCTGTGATAAAGTTGTTGGGAAGGGTACGTGGAATGAGCCATAAACCTTGGGGCTTTGACATGTGCAAGGAGTATTTCCAATGAGGAAAAAACAGGCTTTATGCATCACAGGAAACATTTCTAATGCTCAGCCATTTAACTAGCTATAGTAGCCTGGAGATGACCTTCCTTTCCTGCTGCTTCCAAATGGTATTTTGCAACAAAATCAGTATATAACCACTGAATAATTATTTTCTCTTGATTTCCTGTCTATTTCAGAAATAATCTTCTTTTTCGATGATGAGGTGGGGAGCTGTCATCCAAAATAAACTGCATTGATTTGTGTTTTAGGAAGCTTGCCTTCAAGGAAACCTGATTGCTATTTGCCTGGAGCAGTTAAATGATCCACATCCTCTTCTGCGTCAGTGGGTGGCCATTTGTTTGGGACGCATTTGGCAGAACTTTGACTCAGCCAGGTGGTGCGGGGTGAGAGACAGCGCTCACGAAAAGCTCTACAGTCTCCTCTCAGATCCAATTCCAGAGGTAAAAATCCAACTTGTAAAACAAACGCCGGTTGCATTGTCAGGGTTCTGGCAGAGGAACACAGAAATACTTAGAAAACCAGGGCCTTCAAGAGCTTTATGATTGTGTCTGGTTCAGAGAAAGCTCTTCTTGCTTTTTCTTCAAGGTGGGGCAAATCGTCCAAGTGCTGTGAGAGAAGTAGCCAAAGAGATGCAGGAGGAGTTTGTGCAGCCCTTGGCATCTGGGCACAGGAGTTAGGAAGCACCATATTTTCTGCTTACTTGCGTATCAGAAGCTTGTTAAAAATGTGGTCCTAAAACTCACTGTGTGTCACAAAAAACCTTCTAGTCTTTTTGTCCAAGTTGGAAAAGTGTTCTGCTCCCTTTGTGCAGCCCTTGGCATCTGGGCACAGGAATTAGGAAATGCCATATTTTTTGCTTACTTGCATATCAGAAGCTTGTTAAAAATGTGGTCCCAAAACTCAAAAAACCCTCTAGTCTTTTTGTCCAAGTGGGAAAACTGTTCTGCTCCTGGTATGTGTGAAAATACATCTTTAATTGAACGTGTTTTACCTGTGTGAGAAACTCTCCGAGAGGGAAGCAGTTCTGGTGCAGAGCCCGGCTGTGATTGACAGAGCCTGTCAGAGCCTGCTGAGATCACACGCCCTGGGGGAGACAAACCCTCTGCCAACGTGCCCAGATTGGAGATTAGTTTCCCCTTTACCTTCAGCCTTTCTGTCCCGCATCCTCCACCTTCCTCCGGCCCCAGCTTTTCCCTGTTTTCCAGGTGGGATCTGGGCAGAGGCAGACTCTCTGTCCTCAACGTGGAGACCCGGGCTGGCTGTCCCCATGGCACATGGGGACAGCTCTTGGAGAAGCCAGAGTGAGCATTTCTACTTCACAAAGCACATCCCTCAGTTGCTGATTACCCCGTGTCCCCACCACTGGCAGCCCCTGCCAGGGTGAGCTGTGAGATTCCCCAACCATCTGATCCCTCTGTTCTTTGTGTGATCTGGCAGAGTTTACCCTGATTTGAGCTGCTGCCTCTTCTCCTTTTCTTTTTTCCATCATCTTTCTGTGAGCCCTTAGCTGAAGACGGTGGCTCAGCACTCTTATTAAAGAGATTCACATCCCAACAGCAACTCCCCGTGTACATTATTCCTGTTAATTAATATTCTAGGCAACGTCAACTGGAAAAATCACCCATGGGAAGGTCACCAGGTATTCTGGGAAATTAAATATACTCCTGCATCCGTGAATACTTAAAACTCAGTGCTTTGCTGAATCTGTTTTGGTTTTTTGCTCTCCACGGGCTTCCGTTTAGCCCTTGCTATTTCCCTGCCACAGTCCAGGTTTCCAGAGACGCCGTTTGTGGGGATGAGGAAATCCCAGTGGCAAACTCTGAGCTGGAAACAAGAGGAAAATACTAATGAGTGTTTGTGTCCCGCAGGTTCGCTGCGCTGCAGTCTTTGCTCTGGGAACGTTTGTGGGCAACTCAGCGGAGCGGACGGATCACTCCACCACCATCGATCACAACGTGGCCATGATGCTGGCCCAGCTCATCAACGACGGGAGCCCCATGGTCAGGAAGGTAGGGAAGAGCTGGGGGAACCCAGCTTTGGGGGATTCATGCTGATGGGGGCTCTGTGCTACACTTAACTGGAGAGTGTATTATTTAGTTTGTCAATGGATGTGACTCATTTGGAAGTATCTGTTTCGTTGTGAAGTCTCTTCACCTCACGTCCTGCTGAGAAGCTCCAGGCACGTGTGACGCCACCAGCAAAAGCCACAGCATCAGCCCAGCGGGGTGGCTGAAGGCTCAGGGCTCACAGGCAGCAGCCTCCTGGGATGCTCTTTCATCCACTTGCCCTTTCTCAGTGCACGTATTACAGCATTTGGTTTACAATTTGCAGTAGAAGGAGCCTACGGACAGGAATAATACGAGTAAAGTGTCATGTGTGGTAGTGCCCAGGTGTTGACAAGATTGTTGTTCAGATCAAAATGTGTGTTTAACAGCAGATCTCTGGTTTAGCTCATGTGTTCCACTAAGCAAATGTCTGAAATAGCAGTAACAGTCTCAGGGACTTTTGGAAATTTTTATATCCTGTTTTTTTTTTTTTCCTTTAAAGAGAATGTGAAGACAGGGATAAGGAAGGAGAGCAATTACACTGAAGTCTTTTTCAGATGCACAAAACACTGAGAGCTCTTGCTGGGCTGCCCTTCTTCTAATGCTCCTCCGTTGATGGCTGGTTTGGTTGCAGTGTTTTACATTACAAGATCTCAGGTTTTAAATGGAACAGTAATGTTGTGCTAGAAACAGGGAGTATGTGGCAGTCCTGGGGGAGGAAGAGGAGAGGGAGTGAATGCTGTGGAGAGAACACGAGAGCTCTCTTCAGCAGCAAGATCTTGCTGCTTTTAGAAACCACAAGGAGGGATGACGGACTGTTTCAGAGTAATTCTCCAGGTTTTGGAGAATCACAATTTCCGATGCGCCATCAATAGTACGTTAAATAGTTTTTGACGTTCTGGATTGTTCTTGATGGGTGTCTTTAGGCATCCTAATGCTTGTGTTTACTTAACTGGAACATCAACACCCTGACAGTTGTCACCAGCGTTGTGAGGATTAATTTTTGTTGTCTCGTTCCAGCATTTAATCAGTTTAATTCAAGAGAGAGCTGCATGTCGCACTGTACGCTCTTTGAGATTCATAAATCTCTCTTCTTGGAGATTAGTCCCCTGAACCGAGACCAGCAGCCACAGCCAGCTCCCCACCTCTCCCCTTTGCTGCTTCCAACTGCCCGGCAATTAGCCCTACCTAATTGAGGGTCTGAGCTTCACCTTCTCTTCCCTCCCCACCCCTGTAATTCGGGTTCTCAGGTGGCAGCCAGAACAGACACCCTGGTGGTCCCTTGTAGAGGGGCTGCACGTTCTCCCGTTGGCTGCTGAGACCCTGTGGTTTGGCAGAGGGTTCAGATTCACTTTGTGGAGGAGCTGAGCCACGTCCCCAAGGGCCTCTTGTCAAGTTCTGTTTCCTTCAGCTGGGAGCGAATGTGGGACAGGCTGGAGGATGAGGGCTCTGCTCCGTGTGTACGTGTGTGGCACAGGGAGGGCTGGGGACACTCATCCTCAGCACGACTGGTTGCTGCTCAGCAGGAGACACACACTTCTCGTGGGTGTTTGGTACCAGTTCGGTACTTTCTGTGACACCATCAGTTTGACAATACTGGGCAGAATCAAAGAGTAGCAGGAGCCTGTTCAGGTATAAAAGACTCATGAAGAATTAGATTTGAAACACTGAAGTGAAGGGAAAATGACTAGTCTGGATGGCCACCTAATAATATCAACCCTAATGACCATATTGTTCTGTGTTTCCCTTTTGGTCCGTTATTTCTGACCTACGTAACCCTGAACTTCTTGTTTCTTCTGCTCTTTCCATAGGAGCTGGTGGTGGCTTTAAGTCACCTGGTGGTTCAGTACGAGAGCAATTTCTGCACCGTCGCCCTGCAGTTCATGGAAGAAGAGAAGAATTACCCTCTCCCTTCTCCAGCTGCCACTGGTAGGTGCTTTGTGTCTGTGTGGGCAGGAAATGGATAGCCTGAAAGTGCTCGGGAACTTTTATTTAAAGAGTTTGCCCAAGATGATGAAATTCTTGCTGGTGGTGATTTATCAAGCAGCAGCGTCGCTGCAAAGGTGAGTGGGGTGGTGGGGAGCTCTGCTCTCTGTTAGCACTGTAATATATTGCACTGGAGAAACACATCCTCCTCTCAGGCTCCATCAAAAACACAGCTATAGCTCACTGGCAAGATGTGGAGACTGAACACCCTCTCAAATTCAAAGGGATTCCCTTCACACAGGCTTACCAGACTGGAGGTTTTCCACCAAAATTATACCTGAAACTTCAGTGTTACGTTGACCTAATGAGAAGCTTGACCACAGCGATGAGCAGCAGTGAAGAACTTTATGCTCTGTGCCTTTATGCTCTGATGCTCCCATCCCTTTTCTTCTTTTTATTGCTTCATGTGAGGGATGAAAAGCCCTAGTGAAATTGTTGCTAATCTCATATTTTCTTTAGATGTTAAGTACATTGGGAATCTTGAAGGATAATGGGACTTTTGCAATGGAAACTTGGAGAGGAGACCCTGTGCTGTCTCTGCAATGAGTAGTTTAATTTCCCTATTGTCTGAATAACTAAATCCTATCGGAAAATAAGCTTCTCCACGTTTGTCCTTTTTGCTGCAGGAAATAAACATTACATGCAGTTTATGTAGTGCTTTTCCTTATCCAAAAGGAACCTGAAGTAGGATGCACTGGAAGCATCAGCCCCACCAGCATCATGCAATCAAATAAACTGGCTGTTCTGGAGCCGTGGTGCTGTGTCTGTATTCAGGAATGAAAATGAGAAAGTTTGGGAACTTATAATTATCCAGGTCATGGTCGAAATATGAGTTGAAATCAGGCCTGAAATTTGGTTAGGAAGGCAGGATTTTTGTCACTCTTTATAATGAGAAAATGTAGTGGGTGTTTAATGAGCAGAAGCAGACAGAAGCCTGCAAAGGCTGCCTCCTGCCTGGTGCCTGCAGCGTGTCCTGGCACGGTGTCTGGGCAGTGGCCAGCACCGACCTGGAAGGAGGAGTCAGGGGGCCTCTGGGCAGTCTGCAGGCACTGGCCAGGCTCAGCTCACCTGGGTTTATTGGATATAAAAAAAAAATCACAGCCTCAACAGCAGACACATGTGGTCCATGTGCACAGAGCGTCCTTTGTCATCCCTCATTCTGTTTTAGCCCAATGGGCAAAGACTAAATTCTGTTCATATTGGTAGTATTTTAGTTCTATTATTGCTGGGAAATAACCAGAAGGCTCTGATGGCTTTGGTTACATCTGTAATTGTTAAATTTTGCACCCACAGAGGGTGGGAGTTTGACCCCAGTGCGGGATGGTCCGTGTACACCGAGGCTGCGGTCCGTCAGCTCCTACGGGAACATCCGAGCAGTTACCACAGCGAGGAACCTGAACAAGTCCTTGCAGAACCTCAGCCTGAATGAAGAATGTAAGAGATGTTTCAAAATTCATTCATTTTTCTTTACCTCTTCTCTGCCCCCGACAACACGAGCTGAGACTTTAGCCTGGCTTCTCCAGCTGCCAGTTCCAAGTGCTTAGATGAGAAGCCCCCTCATAATTAGTTTCAATTTTCTGGTCATTAGTATTGATTTTTTCTGAGTGTTTGGGGAACAAAAAGGTGCCTTCCAACTTCCGAACGTGCATGGATTTTTAACTGAATCTTTTCTGACCCCTTGATGCTTCCTCTGTATTTAAACATTCAGTGTCGTGGGTTTGCCTGCGCCTTCGTCGAGCGTTGCAGGGTTCAGGAAAGGGCTGTTATTCCTGGGTAAAAATTGTTCTCTTGCCAGTTCTTGCGTCGGCATATGCTCTCTTTTCCTCCTGGCAGCTGGCAGCTCTGTTGCATTTTCTCCTGGGAATCTCAGCACCAGCAGCAGCGCCAGCAGCACCTTGGGCAGCCCTGAGAACGAGGAGTATATCCTGTCCTTTGAGACCATCGACAAGATGAGACGAGTCAGCTCTTACTCTTCTCTGAATTCACTGATAGGTGAGTAAAGACCTTCTTACCCTTCCCTTGGTGTCACCTTCCTTCACGTGCTTGCACTAGCTTTTGTGGAGAGCTTGGGTCTTCGCTCCTCTAGATCTTACTGCAGCAGAACTCCTTGTCCCACTAGAAATGATGCTCTCGTGGTTGGGAGCAGAGTCCCCCCTGCCCTGCTGGAGGGACTGGCAATGAGGGGCTCCAGCCATACACCTCACTGTGATGGACAGTTAGGAATTTGGGCACAAAATCTAGCATATAGAGGAATTTCACCTCCACTGCAGAGCCCTTGGCTGGAGAAGGAAAGCCAGGACTCCCGGTGCCGTGGGTGGCAGCTGGGCACACAGGCATTTTCAACCCAGCTTATTTTTCAGGTGGGTGGTATTTCCATGCAGCACAGGCACCTTATTGTGTTACTCACCCGAGGAAGCCTCACCTGGCTGATTCCCTATGCAGGTTTATATGCACATTGTTAAAATAGGACATAAAAAAAGAAGAAATCCCAGGCTGTGTCAGAAAAGCAAAAAGACTGAGTGTTTCACAGAGATCTGCTCTTGTGCAAGAAGTTTGTGGGTGATGCTGCTGCCTCCAGTTGGTCTGTTTGTTGGTCCCTCCCAGAGAAGCAACTCTAACGTCACCGATAAAAATGATGAGCTTTTTACCACCCCTCCACGAGCCCCTTCTCGCCCAGCACCTGGCTCTGGGTAACGCTCAGAGCTCTGTGTAGCACAGAGGGAAAGGAAATTTTCCTTGGGTTGACGCAGCACTTGGCTGATTTGTGTGTAGTGAATTGTTTGCCTTTCTTTTGTAGAACAAAACTGGGATGTTTATATTGAGCTGGTTCAACTCGGTTGTTTTTCAGGGAACTTTCTCAGCCGTGTCTGATTGCTACGGTAGCGGTGCTTTAAAATACCTGTAGTTTTTCAGACAGTCTAAAGTGTTTGGGATGGTAGCACGGACAACGTGTGGAAGGATGGAGCTTTGGGAGCAGGGGAGGCAGCAGGGAATTGCTGAGGGAAGCCTCTGTATTTCCTTGGTCATCAGCAAATGTGCCTGTATTTTTCTAGCCCTCAAAAATCAGTGAAAAAAAGAGCAGTGTAGCTCAGAGAGGAGTCCACCTGGGGGGTAGACTGACCTTGACTGAAGAAACATTTTGCTCTACTCTGTTTTCTGGATGAAGTGACAGTGACTTGGATCTCCTGAGCTGAAACGTTCTGGGGTTGGAATTCCTGAGCCCCTGTGGCAGTTCAAAGCCCTGTGTTCATTAGAAACTTGATCAATTCAGTTGCTTTTGATTGTAGGTAGTGAAATTGGATCTTCTAAAGCATGACAGGAATGGTAGGAAATTTCTCTCCATCTTAAGCTAGAACTTGAGTTTTCCTCATTTCTGCTGGTGCCAACTGGTGTCTGCTTGGTGGCTGGTGTGTGTCTCCTGAGAGCTTTGCAGCAGAATTGGAGAATTTCACTGAATTTCACTGAATTTCACTGAATTTCTAGAGTTGGAAGGGACCATAGAGATCATCTAGTCCAGCTCCCCTGCTGAAGCAGGATTGCCTAGAGCTAGAGCATGTTACTCAGGAGCATCCAGGCGGGGTTTGAAAATCTCCAAAGAAGGGGACTCCACAACCTCCCTGGGCAGCCTGTTCCAGGGTTCCGTCACCCTCACCGTGAAGAAGTTTCTCCTCATATTTGAGTGGACCCTCTTATGTTCCAACTTGTGCCCGTTGCCCCTCGTCCTCTCGGTGGGAACCACTGAAAAGAGTCTGGCTCCCTCCTCCTTCAACCCTCCCTTGAGATACTTGTAGGCGTTGATAAGGTCTCCCCTCAGCCTTCTCCCCTCAGAAGAATCTTGAGCTGAGCTGGAGATGAGCGAGGGAGACCTGGGAAAACAAAAAGAGCAGTTCTCCAAAGCCTCCCTCATTCCTATTCAATCGGAAGAGCTCATCTCCAGCTGGAAACGACGGAGCTTATAGAAGTGTTTAAAATTCATAACTCGCACAGAATCCCATTACCTTCAGCGTTTGCCTGCTGAAAGCCAGGGCTTTTTTCATTTCTCCTGAAGAATCACCAGCTCCCAGCCTGTTCTCTCTGGCTCCCCAAGGAAAGAGATTTCAAAATGCCACCGGCTCCAGCCCCCCTCGATGGTGCTGCGGCCGCGGAGCCAGCCCAGCCTCACGTTAACCCCCCCTCATTAAAGTGTTAATCAGGATAAAACACTGCTCTACAGCTGGTGAAAGGGGGGTAAAGCAGAGAGGAGTCCGTCTGGGTGAGGGGCTTGTCTCCACTGAAGAGATGCTTTGCTCTACTCTCCTTCTTCTGGAAGAAGTCACGGTAATTGGGCTCTGCAGTAATGACTCTGCCAAATATCTGAGACAGGCGGAGCAGTGAGAAGGATGCTTTGGGCACATGGGTAGGCTCAAACCAGAGCAGCAATCTAGTCTGTCATTATAAAAGGAGAAATTTTCAACCACTGTTTAATTCTGTGTTCGGTGCTCTGCGTTCCCTCGGTGGATTCACTGGTGTTCAGGGCTCTCTTCCTCTCTTGAGGCTTTAGGAACATGGTGCTGGAGGGGTTGTTCTGCATCAGTCTCTCCATTTCAGTGACACTGCAGCATCACACAATGTTCTTCTTCACGTAACCTTCAGGAAAAATTCTCCATTTCTTCTTCTGCCATTTTACAAACAGATTCACAGGCTAATTATAGGCCATGTGTCCCCATGTAGTGTCCCCCCCTCAATGCAGCATGCAGGTTTTGTCACGGTGTGCTGTTCTCTGCCTGTTCCTTGGCCAGACAGTCCTGTTACCAGAGGAGACGTTTATTTCTGGCCCACGTTTTCAAGCTGGCAAGAGGCAGTTTTTGGTTAGTCAACAAAGACATCAGTTTGGATGGGAAGCTGAGCTTCGCTGCTTATTCCTTACAACTGCTCATTAATCTTGGTGTCCTGGAAATTTTTAGTTTAGTTTAGTTTAAAGATAGGAAAAGGGAAGAAACTTAGATGGGGGTTTTGCATACCTTGAGGCTGATTATTCATATCCAAACCGCGTGATTAAAATCTTTGTCCTACAGAGAGCGTCGCTGGAAAGATTCTATTAAGGAATGATCAAAGAAGGAGGAAAACAAATCTTGGAGCGATGAAATGCTGGGGAATAGTTCTCTTTTCCAGCAGGAGAGGCTGGGGACAGGAAACTCTTTGCTGTGTCACAGGATCTGTCCTGAAGAGCTGCCTCGAAGTAACGTTTCCAGCGGGAGGCTGCTGTGGTGAGGATGAGGAGGGATGCAGGTGGACAGGGAGCTGCAGCAGATGAGAGAGGTGGTGTTAGGAGAGGTAGAGCCTCCTCCTCTATCCCTAGGCAATATATTTAAATGCACAGGAATTGTAAGCAGTAACTGGTAAACCAGCAGTATTTGTAAACAGTAACTTGCACAGTAGCAAAATACAGGGATCTGAGGGGGTTTTGGAAGTGGAAGCTTCATGGTGGCTACTTTTGTGTTGGCTGTGGCAGCCGTGGTCCAGGGGAAGTACCTGCTCTGGGGAAACATGTTTTTCTTAATGAGCTGCTTCTGGTTTCTCTTGAAATGTGAAAAAACTCGTGCTTTGCCATTTGAATCACTGTCAGGGGTTGAAGTGTGCGGGAAACCCTTTGCACGGCCCCGTGCAAGAACAGCAGCTTCCAGAGCATCAGGTCTGTGCGAGAGACACTGATTTGCTGTTGCTGGAGGGAAGGGGCTGCTGTTTGCAGTTGTGGAGTTTGGAGAGCAATTGGGATTTCAGGTGTTCTCTTCAGCCAAGAAGCTCTGACAGGACCTTCTGTGTCACTCAGGGGACGAGGAGAGACTTGGGGATACAGGTTTACCTGAGATTAGTGTTGGTGGGAAGCACATACCCCACATCCTCAGGTACTGTTCAGCCTGAAATATTTCAGCTGCACGTTTCATTTCCAGTCCGAGCCTCGCTGTGCCCTGGGGCTGTGCAGGCAGAGGAGCTGCCACCCATCCCAGGGGGGCACCAGCACTCGGGCAGCTTTGGGGCATCTTTCGGGTATCTTTGGGGCAGCTTTTGCTGCTGCCTTGGGTGAGGAGGGGACCGCACATTCTTCTGGAGATCCAGGCTTGGAACCACTGCAGGGATTTTTACAGGGGATTGGTAAGAAACCCAGTCAAAGAATAAATAAAACCATTGGCATTCATTTTGGCATCCAGCGTGGTTCTGCCCTTCGTGCACTCGGTGACCTGGCAGCAGGACCCCAGCCAGGTCCCTTCCTCAGGCCGGGCGTGATGCTGCTGAACTGAACTAAGAGTTGTGCATAGGCAAAGAAAATCAAAGTCGTCAGTAAAGGCAGGCAATTTATTTTTGACATTCTTAGCAGAGAGGAATAATTTTGTAAACATAAATCTATACTGCAAGGTCCATTTAACTGGCTTTGAATCAGCCTGACTAATTACAGAGCTGTCTGCTTAGATTAACACCCCGTCCCCCTTGCTCGGCTCTTTGTTTGCGTCTCGTGGATATTTTTTGCATTTCAGTCCATTAGGTGAAATCAAACCACTGTTCCTCCCGCCACCTCTGCTGCCTCCCATTATCCCCCTGCCTGGGTGCCGGGGTGTCAGGAGGAGCAGTGTCAGATGTGTCACTCGGCTGAATCAGCGCCACGAGCATCACCGACGGGGCCGGGGGGTGGCAGAAGAAAGGACCGGTCCTTCGAGCAGCAGCTCTGAGCCCGAGATGCCTTTGTAGAAATTCCCTCTGTTCTTTTCAAAGGCTGGGAGCGAAGGAGGAATTGCGCTGGTGTGGTTCTGTTTTAATTTGGTTTTTTTGGTGATGCTTAGATGTATAAAAAAAAGGTCGTTGGGTTTTTTTTTTCTCCGTGGCTGCGTCACGGGTGAGGTGGTTGTCAGAGACACTGGGAAATCTGATGGGTACCCTCTCGTTCTCCCTTTCTTTCCCTTACCTTTTACTGTCTTTCAAGGGCTTTAAAAGAAATCAAGCTGCTCAGATTTCCCATGGGTCCTTATGTACCTTCTAGCACAGGCCCAAACGCAGGAGGCAGAGCTCGGAGCAGACCCCAGGTGACATCACTGACGGCTGCTTCACTGCCTCTTTGTCTCTCTGCCTCTTGCTCTTTCTCCTTCCCCCTCCTCTTTTCCTAATTCCCTGGCAATAGAAGCTTCCAGGATAAATGTGGCAATTGCAAAAATAAAACCTAAATGGTCAGAAGCCCAGAGAAGACAGACAAGCGTCATATCACCATCCTGTAGGGTTGGGAGGCCCAACCCTCTCCCAAGCAGAGACTCACTTTATTTATTGTGTATTGACATTTTCTTTATTTGAACGCGGATATGAGAAAAAGACAATGACTTTTTTGCCCATTATGACCAAAGCCAGAACCTGAGCTGGGATGCTTCAGGTCTGCTCTGCTCAGGCACGTTGTCCTCACACGTTCCCTCATCTCGTGGGCTTCGGGCTCTGGTCTCAGCTGGCACAAACCAAACGGGGCAGGTCAGTGCCCTCTGACTCTGCCCTGTCTTGGCGGTTGTTACTGATTCCTGGAATTATCAACTTTGTTTTTCCTGGGAGGATTTAGCACTGCTGTGTCTTTGTCCTGTGCCCTACCTGCCGTGGCCCCAAGTGGGGCCATCACAAATAGGTGTGAGGTTTCTGAGTGGGACCCTGTAATAGACACTGCTTGGAAAATCCATAGGGTGTCAGATGAGTGAGAGACCCTTTTCTGTGCAGGTGAGGCAGGAGGATGGAGTTGGGTCATTGCCTCCACAGTTTGCAGGATGCTTTGTCACACGCTGGGGAATGTTTCTGGCAGAAGGAAGGTTCCCCTGGCAAAGGCAGACAAACCCAGAGCATTGTGTGGGCTCTGGGAGCGGGGTGATACCTGCCTTCCTCAGCCAGCCTTCATGGCTGGACTCTCCAGGGCTATTTTCATAGAAACAGAGAATAGAATCATAGAATTGTCTGGGTTGGAAGGGACCTTTAAGATCATCTAGGCCAACCATCAACCTAGCTCTGATAAAACCCATCACTAAACCATGTCTCTAAGCACCATGTCAACCTGTCTTTTAAATGCCTCTGGGGATGGTGCCTCAACCACTGCCCTGGGCAGCCCATTCCAAGGCTTAATAACCCTTTCAGTGTAAACATTTTTCCTAATATCCAACCTGAACCTCCCCTGGTGCAATTTGGGACCTTTTCCTCTTGTCCTGTTGCCTGTGACTTGGGAGAAGAGACTGAGAAAGGAGGGCTACACCCTCCTTTCAGGGACTTGTAGAGGGTGAGTAGGTCTCCCCTCAGCCTTCTTGTCTCCAGGCTGAGACTCCCTCATCTTCTCCTCATCAGACTTATTCTCCAGAGCCCTCACCAGCTCCAGCCCCTCAATGTCTTTTTTGTGGTAAGGAGCCCAAAACTGGACACAGCACTCAAGGTGGGGCAATAATTACACCCTCCTTTCAGGGACTTGTAGAGGGTGAGTAGGTCTCCCCTCAGCCTTCTTGTCTCCAGGCTGAGACTCCCTCATCTTCTCCTCATCAGACTTATTCTCCAGAGCCCTCACCAGCTCCAGCCCCTCAATGTCTTTTTTGTGGTAAGGAGCCCAAAACTGGACACAGCACTCAAGGTGGGGCAATAATTCATAGAATCATAAAACAGTTTGGGTTGGAAGGGACCTTAAGGATCATCTTCTTCCAAGCCCCTGCCCTAAGGGGGACACCTCGTACCAGACCATGTTCTGTTGGTCTGAACATTGGCTTCAGCAGCTGCCAGGTGAGAAGCTGCTTGTTGACCACCAAACCCCTTCTTCCTGCCTTAACACTTTATATTTAGATGCCTCCAGAAACACGAAGGGAGATGCAGTAACAGCTTGATCTGTCATTTACCGTTGATCGTGACTCATCTGAAATTCTTATTTTAGTTCCTTTTTTTGTTAGTGCAACCACTTTAATATATTGTCCAAATGGCTCAACTCCCAAACAACGATGTTACAACTATTAGACGTTGTGAGGCTTCGAAGAAAGAATAACAAATTAAAGATCCGCCTAAAAGCAGGAGAATAAAATGTTCACAGAACTTTGTCAGTTGTTGCAAATGCTTATTAATTTGATTTGTACTTTGAATCTGTCAGTCCCTTCTGCTGAAATACCAAACAGCAGATATTCTTGTTAAATAACAAATTGGCAATTGAGGAATGGGTACAAATGTCAGGAGGAAGAGCTGGGTTAGACTTACTGCTTCGCAAGGGTGCGGGTCCCAGAGCTTCATTTTTAACATTTAGGTGGTTAGTAGACTTGTAGAATATATAAACCCCTGAACATTCAAACTGAATATTAGTGCTTAAAACACCAATAAAAATAACCATAAAGATACAACCCAGTAACTGTGGGTTTATGCTCTTTAGTATTTTAGCTCGGGAAATCCAAAGACATTATCCATTTGGCCTTTCCAGATTATTTGCTTCAGGAGCCCAGAAATCCAGCGGTTCGACTGAAGCTTATTTAGGTGGTCTTTAATTTATTTTGCCTTCTCCCACTTGCATTTAACAAGCCCTTGCAGAGTTCACAGAGAAAGACAAACCAGAGACAGAATGCCCGTGCAGGGTGTTTTTGAGCTCTTCTCTTGATGTTTTCCTGGATGTCACTGTGATGTTTGGAGTTCTAATGAATTTTCTCACATAAGATCAAAGCGTTTGAGTTGATGGATTGTCATGTGCTGTGGGGCTTTGTTTTTTGTTTTTGTTTTTCTTTATTATTTTAGGTGTGAGTTTCAACAGTGTTTATACCCAGATTTGGAGAGTGCTCCTTCACCTGGCTGCTGATCCCTATCCCGACGTCTCCGACTTAGCTATGAAAGTTCTCAACAGCATTGCCTACAAGGTACGCCCTTCTGGCTTCGGGTCTGTCTGGGAGGCTTTTTTTTTTTGTGGTTCAAATCGTTTGTATGTTGATTTTTCTCATGCTTAGGCAAAGCGTAGGCAGCCTCAACTGAGTAGATCCGTTGGAGGGCTCTGGTGAGTGGTCCTCGTTGAGTCTGGGTCTATTGCAGGAGGAGCTTTTAATGTTTCAAAATGATAACCACTCGTGAAGCCTTGATCAGGTAAAATAAAGAAACGGGGGAGGGCCTGGGGTTGTTTCAGGGTATAAATTAGGTGCAGACCTTAGACGGTAGGTCTTGTTTACAAGTCTACTTGTCTAGATCAGTCCCTGGGAGAAACCTTAAATCGACCTCATTCAATTGTCCGTTTGCAAACTGATTTAGATTATGCAAGTGGGACTGGCCTGCAGACTGAAGCCACAACGGCTCTCCAACCCAGGTGAACTAGTACATGTGAGTCAGCATGCAGACACCCCCCCCTGCCACCCCACTCCCCCTGCCACCCCGGCCGAAGCCACCATCCTCATCACATCTCATCCTCCGAGGGTGACAAGATGTCCCTGGAGGCTGCCATCACTGCTGACTGGGAATTGCCGGCTCGGGGAGCTGCAGGAGCACCCTCACCTCCCACCCCAAACCAAGCACCAGGCCCCCCCAAGAACATCTTCTCACCAACTGCCCCCTCCCCGCTTCCTACTGCTCCAGCATCCAGCCCATGAGCCATGGCAATGCCGATGACCTCTCTTACTGACCGTGTCCACGGAATAATCCAAAATCCTCAGATTTAGGCTCCTAAGCTCGAGTTGCAGTAAGAGAAGCCGGCATTGTGCACTGCCATCGTAACGCCTTAGAGACTTCTTGCTTTTAAATCTGATTTCCTACTGAGAAAACGAGTTATTGTTTGAACTCTTTTGTTTGTTTTCAAGTAGACGTGTCAGTGAGGGGTGAAGCCTGGGGTTTGGGACAGAGGGTGATTTTGAGAGTGGGGACGATGGGTCAGCTCTTCCCCGGCGATTCAGGTCTCCAGCAAATTACGGTCAGGCTGGAGGTGAATGAGGAAAGGAAAAGGTGAAAGATTTCCCCCCTCTCTGCTCTAGATGCATGAAACTCTTTCGGTTTTGTGTTTTGGAAGCCTCTTTGCAAAATGAAATGTGGCTCCTACTGTGGGATTAAAAGGGATGTAAAGAGGAACCAGATCTGCTTTTCCTGGTTTCGGTATTTTCTCAGACTCGCTCCCTTGCTGGTGGAAAGAGAGGTATAAATGTCAGTGAAGGTGCTGCTGAGCCCTGCAGGTGCCTTCATTGCGCTGCTACGGCCCTGCTCAGCCAGCAGGAATTCCCATCCTCGTGCTGTGATGTCTGTGGTTACTGTTGGCACTGGTTTGGTAGAGATTGTGTTGATTCTGACCTAAACACCTCAGTTCTGAGCAGAGCCCAAGAGCTGGAGTGGGTGGGTGTCGGGCATCTCGTGCTCAGCATCCCAGGCAGCTGCCCTGGCCTGGGCTTTGCAAAATAATAAAAGAATTCCCATTTTCAGAGTTTTCCATCTGGGGATGCTTCCGTGAACAAAACTTAACTCATTCTAGCTGTAAGATCCATAAGGAAAGTATTTAAATACTCAATTTTGGGCAGCTGCCTTTATAGCGAGCAAACTGCTGTGCACTTTGTGATACTGCAGGCTTTGCTTTTGCTGGTATCACCTGGCTAAGATACCTTCTATTTTCAGAGTTTTCCATCTGGGGATGCTTCCCTGAACAAAATTTACTCGTTCTTCTTTGCCTTAGCTGTAAGATCCAGAAGGAAAGTATTTAAATACTCAATTTTGGGCAGCTGCCTTTATAGCGAGCAAACTGCTGTGCACTTTGTGATACTGCAGGCTTTGCTTTTGCTGGTATCACCTGGCTAAGATACCTTCTAAAAAGGCTTTTTTATTATTAAAAAAAAAATAAATAAAACCCCATTACCAGCCCACCCAAATGGAAGTTGAGGCTGCAGCCCCCTAAAAAAAAAAAAAAAAACCCCATTACCAGTTCACCCAAATGGAAGTTGAGGCTGCAGCTCCTGGGCTGTGATCTGGCCTCGGTTCCTTTCATTACGGACTGGGATTTCTGCTGCTGGGAGCTCAGGCAGTTTAGAGGAGCTGTCTGATGGGTAATGCAAATCAGTAACAATTAAATTTTTTGCTAACTGTATCCTGAGATCTTTCCTTGGTGCCAGTGAAGCTTTGTTGGACTTAAGGGGGAGCAGCCTGTGTGGTGCCCACAGCCCTTTGGCCCTCCTGAGCATCTGCAGTTTTCCATTTCGTTGGTTGAATTTGATCAGTGAATAAAAACAAAAATTGATTTTCTTGCTTAAGCAAAAATGCTGCTTCAGGTGCATTAAAACACTTGAATATTTAGGGGTTTAACCCTTTTGTTCTAGTTAATACAAAATCCAGGCAACACGAGGTTCCATTTAGGAACTCTGAATTGTTCTTGAATTAACACAACAGAACAAAACGCTGTGATTTGTACAATGTTGCCTGTTGTTGTTGGGCTTCTCGGCTGAAAGCCCTGAAGAAATGAGCCACGGGCTTGTACTTCTGGGTGGTGTCGGTGAACTGCATCTTCCTTTCTGGTGAACTCAATATTTAGCCTCGAAGCACAGAGCTTTGGCAACGCTTTGTGTCTTTATGGCTTTGAAACATCTCTTGTCCTGGACTGGTGTTGGCCACGTCACTTGGTTGCCCTGATGGTGACCAGACACCTCCTGGAGAGCAGTGGGGCTGGAGGGTGGTAGGAAAGTCCGTATCCCTGCGCTTTTAAATCCCCCGCAGTGAAACAGGGGAGCAGAATTTCACTGAATTTCACTGAATTTTTAGAGTTGGAAGGGACCATAGAGATCATCTAGTCCAACTCCCCTGCTAAAGCAGGACCACCCAGAGCTGTGAGCTTTTTGCAAAAATCCAGTTCACAGAATCACACGGGGTTGGAAGGGACCTCTGGACACCATCCAGTCCAACCCCCTGCCAAAGCAGGTCCACTCAGAGCAGGTCCCACAGGAACGTGTCCAGGTGGGGTTTGAATGTCTCCAGAGAAGGAGACTCCACCCCCTCCCTGGGCAGCCTCTGCCAGGGCTCTGCCACCCTCACAGCAAAGAAGTTCCTCCTCATGTTTAGGTGGAACTTCTTATGGTCAAGTTTGTGCCCATTTCCTCTTGTCCTGTCCCTGGGCACCACTGAGAAAAGACCGGCCCCATCCTCCTGACACCCACCCTTGAAGTATTTATAAGCATTGGTCAAATCCCCCCAGTTTAAGAGCCTCCATTTGTAAAATAGTTATTTGCAAGGCACGGTGTGAATTCAAAGCAGCATTTTTGTTTTCAAATGAGACCAGCCCTCCCCAGGGTCTCCAGGAGCTGGGGATGCAGATCTTTGTCTGCCGGAGATCTCGGCTGGGCTTTAAATAGGGCGCTGTGTTTGGGAGCAGCCGGTGAGTGGGAGCGCAGCCGGGTGTGCTGCCTGGCTGTGAAATACCCTGCTTTATCTCATGATTAGAGGCGGCTCGTTCTGGCACAGATTGGGGCTGTGCTGTGATTTATGTTTATGAGGCACATCGGACCGGTGCAGCTCTCATTCCCAGCCTGATCTTCTGAAAAAAAATAAATCCAAACCACTCTTTTTTGCCTGGACCAAAACAAACAAAAAAGGACCCCGTGAATCCGTGCCGGCCTTTTGAGAGACTTTTTGAAATCACAATTAATTAAGGAAAGTTTGCTTCCTCCCACGTTCCTTCATCCAGCTGTTTTTAATGGAAGGCTTGAGGCTGAATTATCCCAGGAACTATTCCTCCACGACATCACTCCTTGGTACAGGCTTTTCTGGACATAAGCAATAATAGAAGCAAACTATCATTCTGATAGTGTGCTCTTTTCTTTTTTTCTTTTTTCTTTTTTTTTTAACCTGGAGTCAATTTGCAAAATTATGAATTACTGTCTCCCCTCCTGAAAAGAGGATTTGACTGGCAGAGGAGCAAATCCCTGGGAAATGGGGAGCTGCTGCCTCTGGCACAATATCACTGAGCTGCAGCCCTCTCGCTGCTCGCGGAAAAGAAATGGCTTTTTTATTTTTCCCAGGAGGAGGAAGGCTGTCACCACACTCATCCCCTGCAGCAAAGCACCTTGTCCTTCTGCTGTGAAGCAGGGTGACCTGGCCCATTGCAGGTGACTGAGACCTGACTGCAAGAATCTTAAATCTCAGCCTTCTGTGACTAATTAAAACCTAGTTATGGATAACAAGTCACCAGTTGCTAAATTGTTCCTGCTTTCTCTCTGCTCTTCACCTCTTCCTGCTGGTCTGTCCCAGCCCTGTGTAGACCCCTCTGCTTCCTGAGCCATGGGGAGACCAATGGCCTTTAGGAGCCCTCCCAGCCCGTCTGAAAAGGAGGGAAATGACCCATAAAATGAGGCTTCTGGCAGGAGGAGGCTGGGGGGCATCCAGGCTGAGAGGAGGGGGTGGCACAGGGGGTGGCACTGGCCTCCCCAGCCGTAGCCACCCGGTGCTGCTGTGGTGCCCTACGGTGACGGCCACCTCCGCTCCTGCCCTCGGGAGCCAAGCAAAGGATGGTCAGGAGGGCTGGAATCCAGAGGACGTGAGGGAGGTGGACACCTCGCTGGGTCCTCAGAGGATGGGAGGAGGGAAGGTGGTCTCAGAGGGCCCTTCAGCTCCTGTGAGGAGCGGACGGGGGGTCTCCCAACCCACGCACCCCCCGTTTCTCTCCGCAGACACATGTGGGCTGAGGGATGCTTGTCTTCATGGTGGTTCTTGGGTCTTATAAAAGGCTGTTGTGTTCCATGTGCTGTGTGTGTCAGTAGCTGTGGGTCCTACCTTGCTTGGCTCTTTCAGCTGGATACGAGCCCCGGTGCTGTCACCAGAGCCCCCCCTCGGCTCCTGTGCCTGGGGACTCTCGGAGGGTTTGGGGGATGATGGAAGTTGTCTTGCCTGTGGGATAACCCCAGGGATTTGTCCCTCCAGGTTTTCTGTGCCAGTCTGAGGCTGCCTTTAACAGTTATTTCGATATGTGAGAAATTTCAAGCGTTTCAGAGGGGACGGGGTAAAGAGGAAGAGGAGGAAAAGAGCCCATAGGCAACGGAGGATGGCTCCCTTCCTAAAGGGGAGGCTGGTTTCCATGGGGCGAGCAGTGTGCTCAGCCCGGAGGGGTGCGAGATGTAGTTGTCTGCACTTCGAAGGTGGTCTCAGAGGGCCCTTCAGCTCCTGCGAGGAGCGGACGGGGGGTCTCCCAACCCACGCACCCCCCGTTTCTCTCCGCAGACACATGTGGGCTGAGGGATGCTTGTCTTCATGGTGGTTCTTGGGTCTTATAAAAGGCTGTTGTGTTCCATGTGCTGTGTGTGTCAGTAGCTGTGGGTCCTACCTTGCTTGGCTCTTTCAGCTGGATACGAGCCCCGGTGCTGTCACCAGAGCCCCCCCTCGGCTCCTGTGCCTGGGGACTCTCGGAGGGTTTGGGGGATGATGGAAGTTGTCTTGCCTGTGGGATAACCCCAGGGATTTGTCCCTCCAGGTTTTCTGTGCCAGTCTGAGGCTGCCTTTAACAGTTATTTCGATATGTGAGAAATTTCAAGCGTTTCAGAGGGGACGGGGTAAAGAGGAAGAGGAGGAAAAGAGCCCATAGGCAACGGAGGATGGCTCCCTTCCTAAAGGGGAGGCTGGTTTCCATGGGGTGAGCAGTGTGCTCAGCCCGGAGGGGTGCGAGATGTAGTTGCTGCTGTTCCCCTGGCCCATCTTTGGGATTTTTCCCAGGAGAAGGGACAAGAACTTCTCAGGCTCTTTCAGAAGCAGGTCTCCCAGCTGGTGGCCGAGTGCCAGGAGCCGTTTTGCAGGAGCACTGGCTGTGTTTTGTCGAGCTTGGAGCAACCCCACCGTGTAAATCCCCTGCCTTCCTCCCGAGAGCAGAAGGGCATCCTCTAACGAGCTCCAGAAGAGCTCGGCTCTCGTTAGGGGAGGTGGACCAGCTACAGGAGGCAGTTTGAGGAAGATACTGGATTTATGGGGAGAGTTGGGGCTGGACCGTGAGGTCAGGGTCAGGATGGGTGCTGGAGCTGGGGATGTGGGGAGAGATGCCACGAGGCAGGAGGGGAAGCCGGGTCGCCCCAGGCTCTCTGCCTGCCCGGAGGCAGCTTGGTGTGAGGTGCTGGTACAGCTCGTAGGCTGCAGCTGGTCTGGGGAGAAGGCTTGTGTGTTAGTCAAAGCCATTTCCCCGTAACAGACGGGTACTTTCTGGTAAGTGTTTCCTGACTTTAAAAGTAGTAAAATCATCCTGTGTTTAGAGAGCTACACAGGGGCTTTTTGTTTTCATACACATTTTTAAACGCACACACGCCGATAGGGAGCTTAACTTCATTTAAGCCTAGGTGTGTGATTGTGTCAAGCAACAACCGGCCGCGGTGGGTGTTTTGCCGTCTCTTGGCTGTTGAGGATTCTGCTGTGTATTGTTTCTGCAGGCGACAGTGAACGCCCGGCCCCAGCGCATCCTCGACACCTCCTCGCTGACCCAGTCCGCCCCCGCCAGCCCCACCAACAAGGGCATGCACATCCACCAAGTCGGGTAAGCTCCTGTGGGGCTGCAGTGATTTCACCGGGGGGGTTTGGGTGCTCCCTGTCCCCCCACTGTGGGCAGCCAGCCCAGGGAACCGCACCGGGAACGTTTCACCGGGGGGGTTTGGGTGCTCCCTGTCACCCCAGCTCTTTCGCTGGGGTGGGTTTGGGTGGTCCCTGTCCCCCACCGTGGGCAGCCAGCCCAGGGAACCACACTGGGAACACACCGAGCTCTCTGTGCCTGTTTTAGCACTGGAAAAGTGATCAGAAACAAAAGCTCTGGGAAAAAGGTGGGGAGTTTCTTCCTGTTTTTCTTCGTAGGACAAAGCAACAAGCCACGCTCATTACCTAAAGGTGAATCCAAGAGCTGGCTGTTGCTGATTTTACTGATGCGCTTTGTGGCGGCCAAATTTCCCAGCCTGAGCTGTGTTTTCTGCACTTTCAGCTGACAAAAGCCAGGGTTGTCTGATGATCAACAAGCCGTGCCTAAAGGGCAGGGGAATTCAGGTGGTGGTATGGGCAAAGCTAGGATTTGAAAACCTGTTTATTGTCCAAAACCTGCTCTCCAGCAGAAAACACCACGCTTTAGGTCTAGCATCCCATAAACAGTGTGCACCAGTGAGATTCACAGTTGAAATAAGGGCCCAGGACTGCACAGTGATGGGTTTTTAATGTTTTCTGATAGTATAATGTAACTGTGCAATGAGAGAAATCACAGTTTATATGTAAATTAAAATGTTTTGCTGTGGGCTGATGGGATTTCCAGTCTCCCTGTTGAAATACACTGGTAGTTGTGTCCCTTAGGTCAGACATCATGACCTGTTGGACCTCTGCAGGTTCCCAAAATGTTGATTTTCCTGCCCTCATCTGGAGTTGGCGCAGCTGAGGTTCACTCTTGGTTTGGGGTTTGGACATCTTTTGCAGGGGATGGGGGGATTGTGTTCTCTCCCTTTGGTTTGGTTTTGTAGAGGAAGCAGAGAGTGAAGTGTAAACCTTACAAGAAAAGAACGAAGCGAAGGCAGGGCCACTCTGTGCAGGAGTGAGGGAGTGGATGGGCAGTGATGCTGGAGCTGTGTTTTCCTCTGCCCTTGGGGTGTGCAGGGGCAGAGCTGGGTTTCTGTGTCAGGGGGAGCATTGAACTGTCTTCAGGCTGTAGGAAACCAGGTTGATTGTCAAAGGTGGGAAACACCAGCTCCCTGCGATGTGCCAGGCTGAGGTGACACGTACCAGCAGCTCAGTGTCGTGTCTGGCACTCTCTAAATCCTTCCCCTCTTTTCTCTCTAGAGGGTCACCTCCAACCACCAGTACCAGCAGCTCCAGCCTGACAAACGACGTGACTAAACAACCCGTCAGTCGGGACATCGCGTCCGTGAGACCTGCCAACGTTGGCAACATGGGGGTGCAGTATACTCCCCACTCCCACCAGTTCCCCAGGACCAGAAAAATGTTTGACAAAGGGCCAGAACAGGTAATAAGATTTTTCCCTTCGACTCTGGCTGCTTCCCCGCTCCACTGGAGTTTGTTACACATCTTTTCTTTGTATTTTATTTCTTACGTGTCTCTTGTTTGCTTGTAGCTGCTGTTAACTCCGGGTTGGCTTCTTCTAACCAGTAACATAAAAATGGATTTGTACATGGATTTGGGTTTTTTTTTTTCTTCAGGATAAATTTTGTTTTATGGCTTCTGATGGGGCATTATTCACTTGTGCTGCGATTCAGGGGTGTTAATCAGAGTTGATTGCTTATTCTTTCATAAACACTTGTCTGCCTGAGCGATAACGCACAGTCAGATCTGTGACCCTCAGATGCTTTTTCTCCAACCTCAGCAAAGCAGGGGCCAAGGAGGAAAAAGGGGAGATTCCTCCTCCTCTAACACCCAAACTGGAATTCCTCTGGAGAGACTGGTGGCTGCTTCTGCACAGGGATATTCCCCTTCTTTCCAGCAGCCCCTTTTCACTGTGCAGGAGGGAGGTGGGAGCCCAGCCTGTTGCTGGGAAGACCAAAGCCAGTCACCAAGGGCTTTGTGTATGTTTTATCATTCTAAAGACAGTCATCAGGTACCGGGCACTTTTCCATTTTCAGAAGCTGAAGAACTGATGTGGTGCCAAGTGGAGCAATCAGTCAGGTTTTAGTGTGCACCAGGGGTTCTGAATGTCACCCTCAGATGAGTCAGGATGGATGAAGGTGCTTGAGCCCAAGCACGCTGGGATGTGCTTGTGGCTGCTGTGTGAAGACAGAGATGACACTTCCCAGCACTCAGGGTCTGGCAATGGTTTGGTGTCTCCCTCCCCCTCTATTTTAGCCCATTTCCAGGATTTTCCTGGGGCTGGCTCTGTGGGTGAGAGGAAGCTGAAGAGGCAGCAAGTGTGCTCTGCTGCCGGTGCTCCTGCACAAAGCCTGGGGGAGGGAGGACATTGATGCTCCTTTTCTCCCTCCTGGTACTATGAGCAGGAAGGGTTCTCTCTGTGAGTGTCACAATCCACAGGATGAGTGCATGGCACAGCTTTCAGGTGTTCTGACTGCTGAGTAGTAACCACCCTTCACTTAAATTGGCAATTCTGCCTTTAATGAATGATCTCACAGAAGCTTCCAGAGGTGGAGAGTCAATTCTTCTGGGTGATTACAAAAAAAAATAACCTTGAAGCCTTTAGCATGAACATCTTCACCTCTCATGGGAATGGCAGCACTAGCCTGGATCCTATTTCTGAAAAAATGGGTGAAATCCGATTGAATGGAATGGTCTTTCCATTTTTGTTTTGGATGTCTTGGGCTTCGTAAGAGATTTTCAATCCCTAGATGTCCTTGCCATGAAGCTGTTGCCCGGCTGGGCTTTATCCTGAACCATCTTCTCCACTGTCTCTCATGCCAGATGCTTGGGAGACAGGGAGAAAACTCATCCTGGGACTTTATTTTGATGATAGGCTGATGCTTCAGCCCTGATTCATAGGGCAGCTTAATTACATCTTGCACTGCGTGGCTGAGGGAATTTGTGCATTTTGAAGGACTCCACGTAATGACAGTGATCTTAAAGCCAGGTGTAAGAATTCCACACCCGTGGCAATGGGTTTGGGCTCCTTTCTGCCTGGTGATGTGTTGAAGGCAGCGTGGAGGGGAGGGCTGTGGGTTAACCCCCTGTTCTCTCTCTGCACAGACCACTGATGATGCCGACGATGCAGTGGGACACAAAAGTTTCATTTCGGCCACGGTGCAGACGGGGTTCTGTGACTGGAGCGCCAAGTATTTCGCTCAGCCGCAAGAAAAGAACGCAGCGAAGGCAGGGCCACTCTGTGCAGGAGTGAGGGAGTGGATGGGCAGTGATGCTGGAGCTGTGTTTTCCTCTGCCCTTGGGGTGTGCAGGGGCAGAGCTGGGTTTCTGTGTCAGGGGGAGCATTGAACTGTCTTCAGGCTGTAGGAAACCAGGTTGATTGTCAAAGGTGGGAAACACCAGCTCCCTGCGATGTGCCAGGCTGAGGTGACACGTACCAGCAGCTCAGTGTCGTGTCTGGCACTCTCTAAATCCTTCCCCTCTTTTCTCTCTAGAGGGTCACCTCCAACCACCAGTACCAGCAGCTCCAGCCTGACAAACGACGTGACTAAACAACCCGTCAGTCGGGACATCGCGTCCGTGAGACCTGCCAACGTTGGCAACATGGGGGTGCAGTATACTCCCCACTCCCACCAGTTCCCCAGGACCAGAAAAATGTTTGACAAAGGGCCAGAACAGGTAATAAGATTTTTCCCTTCGACTCTGGCTGCTTCCCCGCTCCACTGGAGTTTGTTACACATCTTTTCTTTGTATTTTATTTCTTACGTGTCTCTTGTTTGCTTGTAGCTGCTGTTAACTCCGGGTTGGCTTCTTCTAACCAGTAACATAAAAATGGATTTGTACATGGATTTGGGTTTTTTTTTTTCTTCAGGATAAATTTTGTTTTATGGCTTCTGATGGGGCATTATTCACTTGTGCTGCGATTCAGGGGTGTTAATCAGAGTTGATTGCTTATTCTTTCATAAACACTTGTCTGCCTGAGCGATAACACACAGTCAGATCTGTGACCCTCAGATGCTTTTTCTCCAACCTCAGCAAAGCAGGGGCCAAGGAGGAAAAAGGGGAGATTCCTCCTCCTCTAACACCCAGACTGGAATTCCTCTGGAGAGACTGGTGGCTGCTTCTGCACAGGGATATTCCCCTTCTTTCCAGCAGCCCCTTTTCACTGTGCAGGAGGGAGGTGGGAGCCCAGCCTGTTGCTGGGAAGACCAAAGCCAGTCACCAAGGGCTTTGTGTATGTTTTATCATTCTAAAGACAGTCATCAGGTACCGGGCACTTTTCCATTTTCAGAAGCTGAAGAACTGATGTGGTGCCAAGTGGAGCAATCAGTCAGGTTTTAGTGTGCACCAGGGGTTCTGAATGTCACCCTCAGATGAGTCAGGATGGATGAAGGTGCTTGAGCCCAAGCACGCTGGGATGTGCTTGTGGCTGCTGTGTGAAGACAGAGATGACACTTCCCAGCACTCAGGGTCTGGCAATGGTTTGGTGTCTCCCTCCCCCTCTATTTTAGCCCATTTCCAGGATTTTCCTGGGGCTGGCTCTGTGGGTGAGAGGAAGCTGAAGAGGCAGCAAGTGTGCTCTGCTGCCGGTGCTCCTGCACAAAGCCTGGGGGAGGGAGGACATTGATGCTCCTTTTCTCCCTCCTGGTACTATGAGCAGGAAGGGTTCTCTCTGTGAGTGTCACAGTCCACAGGATGAGTGCATGGCACAGCTTTCAGGTGTTCTGACTGCTGAGTAGTAACCACCCTTCACTTAAATTGGCAATTCTGCCTTTAATGAATGATCTCACAGAAGCTTCCAGAGGTGGAGAGTTGATTCTTCTGGGTGATTACAAAAAAACATAAACTTGAAGCCTTTAGCAGGAACATCTTCACCTCTTGTGGGAATGGCAGCACTAGCCTGGATCCTATTTCTGAAAAAATGGATGAAATCCGATTGAATGGAATGGTCTTTCCATTTTTGTTTTGGATGTCTTGGACTTTGTAACACATTTTCAATCCCTAGATGTCCTTGCCATGAAGCTGTTGCCCGGCTGGGCTTTATCCTGAACCATCTTCTCCACTGTCTCTCATGCCAGGTGGGAATGGCAGCACTAGCCTGGATCCTATTTCTGAAAAAATGGATGAAATCCGATTGAATGGAATGGTCTTTCCATTTTTGTTTTGGATGTCTTGGGCTTCGTAAGAGATTTTCAATCCCTAGATGTCCTTGCCATGAAGCTGTTGCCCGGCTGGGCTTTATCCTGAACCATCTTCTCCACTGTCTCTCATGCCAGATGCTTGGGAGACAGGGAGAAAACTCATCCTGGGACTTTATTTTGATGATAGGCTGATGCTTCAGCCCTGATTCATAGGGCAGCTTAATTACATCTTGCACTGCGTGGCTGAGGGAATTTGTGCATTTTGAAGGACTCCACGTAATGACAGTGATCTTAAAGCCAGGCGTAAGAATTCCACACCCGTGGCAATGGGTTTGGGCTCCTTTCTGCCTGGTGATGTGTTGAAGGCAGCGTGGAGGGGAGGGCTGTGGGTTAACCCCCTGTTCTCTCTCTGCACAGACCACTGATGATGCCGACGATGCAGTGGGACACAAAAGTTTCATTTCGGCCACGGTGCAGACGGGGTTCTGTGACTGGAGCGCCAAGTATTTCGCTCAGCCGGTGATGAAGGTAATGCTTTGCTGTCTCTGGGGGTGCTCTCTGGGGGAGGCACCACTTTCGCTCAGCCGGTGATGAAGGTAATGCTTTGCTGTCTCTGTGAGTGCTGTCTGGGGAGGCACCGCAGCCTTGAGAAGTCCTGGTGTCCCCAGCGTGGGCTGGTGGCCTCCCCTGCTCTTTTTCCCTTCCTTTTCCTCCAGTCGGGGCAGGGAGAGGGATGGATTTGCTTGCATCGTGCTGCTGTGGGGGCTGCCTGACCTCTGGGCTTGTAGAATAAGGGGGGAAAAAATCACAGGAGGGAGCAGGAGAGTCAGTGAGAGATGGGACAGCGGGGTGTCACCAGGGAAAGAGCCCGGAATAAAGCACGGCAGCCCACGGGGAACGTTCCAGAAAGAATGTAAAAATGAGGAGAAGTTTTGTAATTGGTCTGGATCCACCAGTTTTGCGCAGTTGCAGGTTGCATTGCTGAGTTGTTTCACTGCAAACGTTGTGCTTGTCTGCAAACTGAAAATTGCATCAGAGTTAAAATTGATCTTTTTATGTAAACAAATGGAATTAGGAAGGCCCTTTATTCCAGAAGGGGCTGCGAGAGGCTGGAGAGAGAGAGAGGTGCTGTTTTCTTTCTGACACTCGAGTGGAATTTTCTGGCTGTGGTGATGCTAAAACATCAGAGGGGCAGGGAGAGCACTGCCCTGGGGGCTGCCATCCCACGGAATCCCTGGGGGCAGCAGAATGATCCCTCTGCTGCAAGTGGGGCTTGACTGTGCTGGAGTGGGACTTCAGAGTCCTGCTCTGCCCCTGAGCACCCCGTGTAGGTGCCTTTCACTTAATAAGGAGAAAGCGACAGTGGTGGGACACGGGCATGGCTGCCTGGGGGAAATTTGGAAGCATCATTGTTGTTTTTTTAAAGCTTAAAAAAAAACCACATTCTATTATGGCAAAAAGTGAGGGTGGTAATGACAAATTTCCAGCATGTTCTGGTAACAAAGTTGGCTTTATGTGAAGTGAGATACGCTGGAGCCTTGTTGTAGGGAAGAATGAAAACAGAGCTCTTAAGAGATGGGGAAAGATCGTCAGTGACTGGAAACAGAAAACGTTAAATTCCCAGAATCTTTTATCCAAAGATCAGGTTTCAATTTTAAGTACGAAATAAAACCAGGCGGTAAATCTTGCCTTATTATAAGCAGAGAGGGTAAGATGAGCCTCCAGGTACCTTGGGAGTCAGGCAGCACAAACTGTAAGAGAAATCTCAGCTTCGTTTCATGGAGGTGCTGCAGTTTCTGTGAATAATAACACACCGTCACTGTGAATGCCATTACCTGAGCAACTCTGCATCGGGTGCTTATATCCAACCAGTGAGGTTTAAATCTTAATAATGAAGAAATTGTGTGGTTTATGTGCTGTCTCAGCCAAGAATTGCCACTGAGCCATCCGTCACCTCATCCTCCCACTCTTTAGGCACGTTAAATTGATGATGGGGTGAGGTAATAGCCCCCAAGTTCAAGGATATCAGAAAACTAGTCAGATGGCAGCCAGTTTCTGTGTAGCTTTGGTTCCTTTAGAGAATCACCAGGAGGAACGACTGGATGGTAAAGTGATTGCCCAACACTTCCTCAGCTGCTGGTCAAATTAACTTGTTTCTGATATCATTAGCAGAATAATTCATTAGGATGTACATCTGGCCTGTGGGGCTTGGTCAAGCTCTGAACCAGGGTCTTCTCTCATCACGATGAGTTCTGGTGTCTTGATTTGAGGAGAGTACAAGAGGAGGAGGATGTTGTTCCATCTCTTAGTTCTTATTAAAAACATTTGTCTACTTTCTAAGGAAAGCTTTTCCCAGTGAAGAGGGGTGTCTTTATTAATAAAATACATCATGGTAGACAGCCAATGCGAGGCAGGTTCAGATGGGGAGCTCTGTGTGTGTCTTCAGTTCTTCATGTGCATAAAATAGAGAAAATTACTTGAGGGGAAGGAAGAAAAATTATGGAGAATTCCTGGACTTATTTCTAGAAGCCAGAGAGGGAGAGTCGTGGAAATTGAGGGTTCCCCCTGCATCCTGGTGGGTGTTCGGTGTCTCACCAGGAGGAGGAAGGTGCTGCAGCCCAGTGGGTGCCACCGTGCAGGCTCTGTCCCTCTCTGTCCCTCTCTGTCCCTCCCGTGTGTCACAGCGATGGCTCTTTTCATAGTTTCCCAAGTGCTTTCGTTTGGAAAGACACACTGACTGGGACTGAGCTTTCTGAGCACGGACTGTCCTCAGCCAGCAGTGTTTTAGGTAAAATTTGAGCAAAACAAAACTGTGTTTCCTACTAAGAGAATTGATTTCCCCATTACTTCCCTAAAGCAGCTTTAAGAGGCCGAGTAGAGGGTTTCTGCAGAAAAACTCCCATGTTATGCTGTGCTAACAGGGAATTCTGTGTATCTTTGTAATTGGAGTGGGTGGTGTGTGTGCAAGGGATGGGGAGAAGTCCCTCAGTGAGAACTTTCTTTGGTGTTTCTTGATTGCTGGTTGTGTAATTGGGCAGCGCCGGCCACCCCGTAATGGGGGTGTGGGCTGAGCTTCCACAGAGTCCTCCTTTCCTGGAAAACAAGGAACAAACAGTCCTGGCTGGTAGCTGCTGCCTTTGGGGAGCTTCAGCCTCATGAAAAAGGCAAAGAGTAAAGTCTACATGGTCCTGGTGGAAGAAGACAACATTGATGTTTAATTCCAGTGCTTCATTTGGAGATGCCGCCTACCATCATAAACAGGGAAAGACAAGACAACTGTTCCTGTAATGAATAAACATAAAACGACTGTGAGTGCATCTTAGTCATATTTAATTTATGAATTTAGTTTTGCTTCATAGACCTTGCTCTGAGAATGCTTTCACTGGAAAGATTGAGGGATTAATTTCCAGTGTAAATCACTGGCTCCGTTTCAAGCCATCATTCCGCGTTTGATTTATTGATTATCTGATCAACTAAATGGAGAAAGAAAAGCACTGCATTGTGAATTCTCACCGTGCCAGGAAAAACAGATACCTACCCCAGCTCTGAGCTCTACAAATGTCTTTCCTCTTCCCAAAAACTCTTGTGGCACCAGGCTGTGCTGTCACCACGGGCGGGCTTGGAGCGGCGGCGCAGGAAAGCCGCGCTGCCGGCTGTCAGGAAGCCCGGAGTCACCGCGAGCGGGAGCAGCATCTGTCGTTCCCAGGACTGGCAGAACATGCAGGAGCTGGTGAGCATCCTGGAAGGTGAGAATTACATCAGAAATCCTTCCTGATAAGTCCCTGCCTTCACTTCAGTGCTTGTGCTTTGGCCGTTGTTCAAAGTCCTGGCAGAGGAAGGAGCTTTCCTTGCAATTGCTGCAGTAACGTCCACCCCGGGGAAAAACCTCCTTCGCTGCCGGAGCTGAACCTGCCCCACGGCCCTTTGAACACAGACCTCCTTGTGCAGAGGGAGAGACGGAGCATTAAAGAAGAAAAACTTCCTTCCTCTCTCAGATGACAGCGCTGGGTGGGAGGTTTCGGGATGGAAGTTGGTTTCTGTCGGAGTGGAAGCTCCGAGGTGCCGGGAGTTGGTGGCGTGATCCTCCTCGTGTGGCAGCGTTTGTGACTCCCACCTTCCTCGGGGAGCTCTGCTCGAGGGGAACTGAGCAACCGCCAGAACCGGGCTGGTGGTTACTCAAATCACTGTCTGATGCTTAGATGGGAGCCGGCTGGGAGGGAGACAGAGGCATGAAGAGAGCCTAAATAGTTCTTTTGAAAAATAATTTCTGGATTTCCAGCAGCAGCCGGGCTGAGGTCTCAGCTCTCTGCTCCACACACCCCCCAATGGATGCCCGTGCTTGTGTGTCACCAGACGCTCCCTCGTGACACGTTCTGTGGGGTTCACGTTTGCATAGGTGTGTGTGCTCTTTGGGTTGATTTGTGGTTGGACTTTTGATGGTTGGACATTTGGCAGTTTTTCTCCAATATGCACAGTTTCACCATCACAAGCTGTACTGGGGATTCCTTACAAGCCAACCTGCCAGAACCTCCCCGGAGACCCGTCATCCCATCAGTGACCAGCTACGGGTGGCACTGGCCATACTTCTGTCTTGGTTCCTCGCTCAGTCCCTTGTGTCACCTGCTCCTCCCTTGCAGGTGGTTTGCAGGACAACCCTGGGCAAGGAGGGGGTTGGAATGGAAAGATGGTTTCTGCCCCCAAAACCCATTCGTTGCTGAGGCAGACGGTGTCCTGGTGAACTGGAGAGGATGGACGGATGTTTGCTGGTCTCGATGGGCTTGACGTGACTGTCCTGTCCTGTGTCTCTGCCCTTTTTGCATGGCTTTTCCTCTGTTCCAGGCACACACACGCTGTGTCCCTCTCATCAGAGTGTCCCCTCCCACAGCCCCTCACACCAGCCCCACTCCAGGTGCTGCAGCCTCTGGGGACTGTACCCCAGAGACCTCGTTAGAGCAGGGATCTTCCTTTACTGATACCTGCTGATAAAGGCAACTGCCTGCTTGGCCTCCTTGGGAGAGGGAAGTTATTTTTCTTCAGACCAAAAAGCCCAGCAACTTCTTTATCTGATATTCTTTATCTGCTGGAATGAAGAGCGCTTTGCTCAGCTGCGTGATGGTCCTTTTCTTAGTCCTAAACTCTGGAAGCTGCTTCCCTGAGAAGCTGGATTTTCATTAAGGTGTAGGTGTAATCTCTCTGCTCTCAGATCTCCTTTGATGTATTTTATCTTAGGTTTGTTTATTGCTTCACCTTATTGGTCATTTGTCATTGCCTTTCTAATAGATGTTGTATTCTTGAAAAATTGAAATAGTAGAGCTTTTCGGTTTGTTTTTTTCAGGAGGAAAGGTGGAAGGTGGGTTTCTTAGTTTTTATTTATTTTTGAAGAAGCAGAAATTCAGCTCAGTAATAGCTGTTTTCCAAGGTATAGTGCGTTTTGAAGACAGTATATATAATAGTGACAGATGATTTAAGTACTTTCTCATTAAGGAAAAAAAGTGTGTGTTTGTGAGGAATGGGGAAGGAGTGAAAGGACCTTGTCTTTTATATCTCCCTTCTCCAAGAGTTACTCCTTTTGGAACAGCCATCGTTTCCTCTGTCAATAGGAGCTGGATTAGAGTCCTCTATCTCAGCTCCTTAATTGATGCAAGGATGTTTCTAGCGCAGTGCTGCTGCTGGCCTTGGATAATTTTTTCAGCATTAAATAAAAGACACATCACACGTAACTGCTGCAGCGCGGGGTTGGGGATGAGATCAGATGAGTTCATTCCTTTTGATCCTGTGCTTTGGCTCCGGGTGGGAATTCCCGGGATCCCTGCCTGTCCTCGGGAGCAGCACCTTGACTTGCCAGATCCCTGGCAGGAGCTGCCGGAGGCGCTGGTGCAGAATCCTGACCCGGCCTGTGGCTGGAGGATGGATTTTGCAGGAAAACCGTGCAGGAGCCTGGAGCTGTGGGTGGGAATAAAGGTAATAAAATAGGTCAGAGGGGCTGTACGTGCTCCAGGGCCTCGCTCCAGTTTCAGGTGGAACTTTGTGTGTGATCGAACCAGGATGACACGGGGGCATCGTTTGCTCGGAACCAATTCTGCTACGGGGGGTTAAAACAGTTATGAGTAAAATACGATGTTGGTAACTTGAGCATCTCAGGGATTTGAAAGTGAAATAATGCCTTTTTTGGCCTGCAGTCATCTCTTAGCTGGGAAAGATTTTAATGTGTTCTGAGCTTTCTGTCTGTACCAGAGCTTTGTTCTCTCTTTAATCTCAGGATTGCTACGTGATGCTTTTCAGTTGAAAAGTGTTAAGTGGAGTAATCTGTATTGCAAGGAAACGGGGGTCGTGCTGTTTGGGGGGGGGCAAGGAGTTACGGTGCCTGTGTCTGCAGCAGAAAATGTTCCTCACAAACCCATCGCTGTGATTTGAAACAATTTGAATGCGTGTGGCTCTTCCGAAACCCCGTGTCAGTCACTCTGGAGAAATGCCTACGACTTAAAACAAAATATAGGACAGCAAAAGGGAAGGGGAAGAGATTACAGATGATGGGGAAGATTTAGATCAGAAAGATGCTCAAGTGTTTAATAACATAAGGTCCCACGAGCTCCTCTGTTTACTGCCTGAAGCTGGAGGCCCTAAAGAATTTATGGCTTAGTCTGATGTGCATGTGTATGAGCGTGCATTACAAGGGTAATTCATGGAGTTTTGATGGTTACTGTTGTTTTGTGTTGTCAATATGTTGTTATTCTGAAAGATCCCAGAGGAGCATGACTTGGAGAGCCAGATCCGCAAGGAGAGAGAGTGGCGGTTCCTGCGCAACGCCCGTGTCAGGAAGCAAGCCCAGAAGATCATCCAGAAAGGTGAGCGATGTCCTTCCTGCCCACATGCAGGCAGCTCCCTCGCCCTCCCAGTGCTGCTTAGTCCGGGCACTGAGCTGTAAAACCCCCATTAATGATGGTTCCATGCTGCCCCTCAGACTGGGATGGTGCTCCTGTGCTCCCCTGGGCAGGAGATGCTGCTCTGGGGTCACTCATTATTCTCAGCTACTGGGTTTGTTCACCAGATCAAGGGAGCAACCACTTAAAATGCCAAATGTCTGCCTTCCCCTTTGAAAATGTCACCCCAGGGCTGTGATACAAGCAACTGAGGTGGTTGGTCACCAATGGGAATGCCCGGCCGGAGCGTGGCCAACCTGTCGGGACCGGCCAGAGCCCAAGAGTAATGACTTCTTTGAGGGAGGAGAGAGCTTGCCGTGAAAGCAGCTTCCCTGCTTACAAGAATTGACAGAGCATCCGAATTTCTAGTGCGAGTACTGGCTCCCGAGCCCTCTGGGCTGTTGGGCAGCAGCTGAGGTCAGACCCGACCGCAGCCGGCACCTCCGCGAGAGCCAGGGCGCTCAGCCTGGAATCAATAATTCAGAGAACTTTAACAGATGGTATTGATTCACCATTTGGGCTTTCCCTCCCTGCCCTATAAAGTTGGGATGGATGCCGTGGGTTAGGTTTTTAAAGGGACAGAAGGCAGAATAGTGGAGGATGAGCTTCGGGGCTGCGTTCTGGCCAGGAAGGCTCCGAGTGTTTGCCCTGTGTTGGACACCCTTTGGAGGGCCATCGTGGTGAACCAGCCCCCCCCATGCCCAGAAGATATCTCTCAGCCATGTCTTTCACGTTCCCTGCTCTGCTGAGCTCTCTGAATGATTGCTTACTCCTTATAGCCCATCATACTGTTAATACTCGTATGCGTGGCTTTATGTGTGCCTACACTTTTCCCTCTCATGAGCCTTGGGTTCACGTCTCATTAGTGTGCACTCTCCAGAAAGCTGATATTGCTGGTTTTATGACATTTATGCCTCTATGAGGCATATGGACTAGAATTCTTTTAGCACAGGAATTTATTTGAATATAGCAGAGCCCGATGAAATGCCCTCAGGAATTTGCATACTTGAATTATTCCTGCTGTTGTGCCTCGATCAGCAGAGCCTGGGGATGGTGTTTATGGGAGCTGCTCTCCTGGCACTGTCCCAGGGCAGAGTGGTGCAGAGGGTGCTGTTCCTTTCCAGGGATGCTCGCCGAGCTGGAAATCACAATTTACTGAATGAGGAACCACCCAGGGCTCAACCTTCCACGAGCACCTCGCTGTCTGGAGGTTTGCTGGGCTCCAGTCAGCACAATGGGCAGCTTAATGTCTTGAAACTGCAGGAGATCATGAACCAGAGCCATCTAGAAATGAAATGGAAGCCCAGGAGATGGCTTGGGAGATCCTCTTGAATACAAAAAAGGAGATTTTTCATGCTTGCCTGAAGACATTAAATCTTTTTCTAGACAGTGTTCATATTTAGTTGCTTGACCTGAGCGACTAAAATGCCAGTATTCATTAAAAAAAAATGAAAATGTGAAATATTAAAAAGAATTAAAACAGACTTACAGTCTTTTAATGAAAATTAGATTAAATGGATGCATTCTAAAACAAACTAGAACTGAGTAAATGTCTCCTGGGCTTAGGGTTTTGTGTGATGAATTCGTCCTGTGCCAAAAAATGGCAGTGTCAGGGGTACCAATACTGTTAGTGAATAACGAACTGGGCTAAAGAAAAGATGGGAAAGGTCTTCAACCGTCATTTAAATGCCTCCATGGAAAATACATTTTTCATTTGCAAATTAACCTAAAATTTAAAAGAACTGAAACGGAACGGGAAATGAATAATCCACAAGCTAAAGTGAAATAGTATGTTTTAAGTGGAAAAAAAGTATTTTTTTTTTTTTTTTAAATTTTGAAAAAATAACGTTGATTTTTCTGTCAACACTAAACTGTTTCTCTGGGCTGGGTTGTGCTTGTTTGCTGCATCCTCTTCAGTTGCCAATGTACCTGTGGTGGGACAGTCGGCCTCTGATAACTGGGGGCTGAGGAGGTTCGTGAAGGAGGAGAGTATCAGGGGTTCTGTTGGTGAGAACTGGGGGGGAGGAGGGTGACATGTGGCACTGGGGACCCTCTGATCAGGGCTGCCTCCTGTCCCCCCGCAGGTATTTCCAGGCTGGATGATCAGATCTTCCTCAACAGGAACCCGGGCGTCCCCTCGGTGGTGAAGTTCCACCCCTTCACGCCCTGCATCGCCGTGGCCGACAAGGACAGCATCTGGTAAGAGCCTCCCTGGGTCCCTGCAGCGCAGGTTGTTGGGGGCAGCACTGCCCTGTCTTACCCCTTTTCTTCTCCCCACTCCCCTCCATGACCATCCTTCCCTCTCTTGGGGTGGGGGGACACAGCAGAGCACCCCCAGAGCTCAGGGCCATGGGGGCACCAGGCACCGAGTCCTTTCCCATGGGAAGTGCTGGGTTAAAGGGCTGCAAGGGAATCCCAACAGATTTCTAATAATTACTTACAACTGGGCTTTTATCCTGTTTCTTTTACTGGAGGTTGGCATACATTATTCATAAAATGATGCTGAATACCAAAGGAGAAAAGCAAATTAAATTGGTATCCAACGTATATAATTTTCAGTTCTGCTGTAGTGAGTAAATCTTTCTTATAGCTTACACAGAGAACCAAGAACTGACCTTGGTATTATTTTTTCCTCCCCCAGTTTTTGGGACTGGGAGAAAGGGGAGAAGTTGGATTACTTCCACAACGGGAACCCTCGATACACCAGGATCACAGCCATGGAGTACCTGAACGGACAGGACTGCTCCTTGCTGCTCACTGCTACAGGTAAATAACCCATTTTTTCACAAACAAGGGCAGCACTGGGGGACCTTTCCAGAACTGGAGCCCATGGGAGCTGTTCTGGTGCCCTGCTCTCCCCTCTCTGGATTTGGCCCAGCCTGAGGACCTGCCTGCTCTGGGCTGAGGTGGCATTTCCAGCATCAAAGCTGAAAGTTGTTTCTGGCAGCACTGAGATCTCTCAAGTGCGTGCTGCAAGGCTTTTTCAGATGACTAACAAAGCCAACTCTTGCTGAAAGCATTTCCAATCACAGCTTTGTTACATCATTCCAGTCTTTACCTGTCATTGCAAGTTCGTGGTAACCTCCTTCTACCCGATACCTCGGGATTTTACCTGCTTAAAAGCTGCAGTCCAGAGCTGAAAAGGAAATGATGCTGCAAAGTAGAAAAAAATCAAATTCTGTTACTTGTGCTGTTTTGAGCCTAGAGCAGGCAGGGCTTATTTTAAGCCCTGAGCTTCTCAGATAGTTGTGAGTTCTCTCTGGTCCCTGTGTCTCACCCAGGGGAGTCAGTTCTCTTGAATGCCCCGTTGCATCGCGTAAGGCAGCGTGAAGAGCCCTTTCCCCATTCATTGCTCTGTGAAGCTGTGAGTAAGATCTGCTTCTCTCCCAAGGAACCATTCCAAACCTGTCAGTCTGAGGGTTTTCAATAGCTTTTCAAACTCCGTGCTGAAACGTACAGGTTGGGTATAATTAAGAGAGGTGGAAGAGGAGCTGAGAGGGCCTTCAGGACATTTTCCTTTCCATTTATTGATTCTTAGCACAAAAGTTTCACAGATGGGGAACAAATTGAAAAAATACATGATGTTCTTGAAAGATTTGCTGCTGATGGGCTGGGCTTTGATTCAACTTCTTCAGCGGGGTTGTATTTTGTATTTAGCAGGTGCTTGTATTCTGTGGTGCTTGGCACCAAGAGCAAGGAGGACAGAGAAGAATCCTAGAGAAAATGAATGAATGGGTCAAAGAAATGGAGCGACATCTAATGTTGGGTGTTAGAGGGTAGGAGTTAAGCTCTTCCAGAACAGTTGCTGGTAGAACAGTGCTGTAGGTTTCATGGATGTAATGTTAGAGAGGAAAAACTCTAATAATCAAGATAAAGCTCAGGTGACACTCTGGGGTTTGGAGTTTGTACGACTGCAGTTCCGCTTCGGTTCTTTGTTGTGCACAAGTGATTATGAGCATCACATCAGCAGTGACATTGTGTTGTGGTCTCTTTTTCTGTGCTCCCCAAGATGACGGTGCCATCAGGGTGTGGAAGAACTTTGCAGACCTGGAAAAGAACCCGGAGATGGTAACTGCTTGGCAGGGGCTGTCAGACATGCTGCCGACTACACGAGGTGGGTCCCCGCTAAGTTTTGTTGGGGTGATAAGGCTAATTTGTGATGGTGGGGTTTTTTCTAGGGATGGGGAGAGTAAAATGGGTTTCTCAACTTCAGCTGTCAGTACCATCCTTGTTCAACGGTCTCTGCCTTCTGGAATGGCCTCTTGCCATGCTTTGGGGAGGAATAAGTTTTCCAGTTCTCACAAAACCAACCAAACTGAAAGCCCCACACGGCAACCTCACACACACACACACACTGAGGACCAGCCAGAGCAGGCTCATGCTGGGGAGCAGATGGGTACAACCTCCTTGTCCTTTACCAGCTCCACAGCAGCTGCCTTCCCTGAGCCTTCCTCTTCCTGGTGTTCCTAAGGAGAGACCTGTGGAACAAGGGTGGAATTGGGCACTGCCCGGCTCCGTGCTCCTCGTGGCAGGAGGCTGTTCTTGCCCTTTGGGTGGTAGCTCACATTTTGCCCCTTTCCTTCTGACGGGCTGCTCAGCCTTCGCACAGCTTTGCATGTTGCACCTGGGACCTCTTTTAGCCTGAGCTCAAATTCTGGCAATTATTCTTCCCTGTTTATTGCGGGTCAGGAGGTGGCAAGAGAATATGCCGTCTAAATCTGGCACGTGCAGAAGGACAGCACAGTTAGACACTGACCTGCTTGGAATGTGAGAAAAGTTGGATAGAAAAAGCAGTAAAAAGGAGCACTGGTGTCCAGCCATAACACAGGGTGAAGCCAGAAGAGCAGTTTGAGTAACCCTGAAGTCTGTTTTAGGACATTAAAGGAGGTGGATGGACATCCTGTCCTTCCGAGACCTGGTGATGTACTAATGCTCTAATGTAATTCTTTGTCACTTGAGTATTTTTAATCAAGGCTACAAGTTCTTCTAAATGTGGGGTAGTTCAATCAGCGCTGGGGGATTGATACAGGAATTGCTGGGTGAGGCTTGTGCTATGCAGGAGGTCAGATGAGACGACCATCATAATTCATCCTGACCTTAAAAACTGACAGTTCTCATTTCTGAGCTGATGTGGTTCATCACAGGAGTCTGACAGAGCTCTCTCAGCTATTCATTGCATTTTACTAGCGCTGCCTTGTTGAGCTCCTATCTGTTATGTTTTCCTTAACGCCTCATGGTTCATCTCCGATGTTTTAGGGAAGAGGAACTGTATCTGAGGGAACTTTGGGCTCTGTGCCTCGCTGCGGTAATTGCACAAAACTGATTAGAAGCTGCTGGAAGTTTGCAGCACACTGAGAAAATTGCCGTGGTCAAAACCTGCCCTTTGCAGAGGTGTCAGTAAAAGCAGGAGGAAACTAGTGGTGATGCACCAAGTGGTGAAAAACCTGAATCTCCTTAGGTGGAGAGGAAATGTCCAGAAGCCTTCTCAAGTTGTCCTTTGTAGTGTCATTCAGTTGGTCCGTATTTCTTTCTTGTCAACGCCAGCTTTCCTGAAGGTCAGTGTTGGCCATTCCTGGATTCAGGATCTCTCCTCCTTGGTGCTGGCAACGGACTCCCCCAAACACTGGGGAGCTCCTCCAGATCATTGGCTTCTTGCTGCCTCATGGGTCACGTTCCGGGAGGATGCAGACAAGTGTCCATGGAACTCCTTCAGGCTGATTCCATTTTCCTGCCTGACTTTCCCTGTCACCGCATCAGGGCACAGCACTGGCTGGTTGTGCCCTCCTCTCTGCAGGCCTTTGGTGCAGAAGAAAGGGCTGTAGGCATCAGCATTTGGCGTTGAAAATAGGGCAAGAGCTGAGGCAAGAGCTGATGTAGCTGTAGGGGTTGAGTGGTTGCCAAAACAGGAGTGTGGAAACTTTTAAGTCTCTTCTCTTTAAGATTATGGGGGTTTTGCCCTTGTCTTTCCCTGATGGTCTTAGGAAGTCTGGGTCAGGTTGCACCTTTGGAGTGATAGAATTAGGTTCGGGAGAAAAGAAGGACAGATTTCTTTGTGGAGAGAGAAGGAGATTGTAGTCACTTCAAAAGAGCCACATGGATCGAGTCTGCTTGGAACTGAGACTCTCTGAACAGTTGTCTTTCGTTGCCAAGACCATCGTTGTGATCCACGCTGGCTTATAAAACTGGAGATACATCTTTGGAGCTGCAGAGCTCAGGACTTCTACTGGAGTTTGTTTGCTCCTGCTATTGACTTCCTTCTCTCCTCTCCCACCCTTTTCCCCAGTGCCATACTCATCTCTGAATTCAATAGTTGCCTTGCCAGCAACCAGAACACTGACTTTTCGAGGCAGTTTTCCCACTTGTAGAAGGAGAGAGGAACATCCAATACCTTGGAAGCTTGAAAAGCATCCCCGGGTTGTCCAAGTAATGGGAGGTCAACAACCACACGCTCAGGGGCTGCCCAAGAGTGGGGAGGAGACCCCAGGGAGGCACAGAACATGAACTTTTATGCTCTGTAAAGGACTTGTGGTTGCAGCCCGAGGTGAGAGACAGGAGCTGACATGGTGTGTTAAACCCCTGTGTGGGGATGCTCTTGCTCAGGAGTAGCTCAGCCCCAGCTCATTGCTCTTCATGCTCACTTGAAGCTCAGAGAAGGCAAGTCTTAATTTAAACACTGGCAAACTGTGTGGACACCCACTTTTTTCCAGTGTGAGATTTGTTAATTTTGATCTTGTTTAGATCTGCACTCATGACGCACCAATAAAGTCCTTTTCGATCAAAATCGGGGTGTTTAAAGCAGCCTTGGTACCAGGAGCAGCAGCGAAAGGCAGTGCCTGGGAATCCCCAGGGCGGGAGATGGAGGGGGCAGAGAAAGAGGCAAAAAGCCCCTTGTTAAAGTCTGGTGTTCCAAAAGGTGTAGGAAAAACTAAGCGTTTTCTATTGAGCAGCGTAGGAAGAAGATAAACCTGACGTGCTCCGAAGCTGTGAGCTCACAGCAGGAGGCTTTGGGAATTGTGGCAATTTCTAGAGAGGAGGGTGTGTGAAGGCTGCGGGTGCTGTGAGCTCCGGAGCAGCCTGGACCCATCACCTGGTGCCTGCAGGAGAGCTCGGAATTCCGGCTGCTGGGTCCCCTGTGCTCCGGGCAGCTCCTGCAGCACTGGCCACACTGGTGTCTCTGAACAGAACTGCCATGTGTGTACTGGTTCTTTGTGACAAAGGGAAACAAGCCACGGTCCCCCGGTCAGAATGGCTTTGCCCTTTAAAGCAGTAGAGTCCTGGAATTTGGAAAAACACGGAAGTGTAACCAGCTGCTTCCCAATTAGCAGCCGCCGTCTGCTCAGCCCGCCCCTCCCCAGCTCCCTGTGCTCGCTGCAGATGCCTGCGCTGTTTTCCCTTCCCCAGTTCAGCAAAGAAAACCAGTTTATCCCTTCTAAAGGGGGCCAGGGGAGGACCGAAGGGCTCAGCTCCGTCTCTTCCTGCATATCTGGAGCTCCTGGTGCAAGATTTTTCAGGGTTGTCCCCAGGTGTCCTGTGGCCACCGGGCTCCCTCGCTGCCCCAGGGACAGAGACCTGGCTGTGGCCAAATTATGGGTTGTTTAAATGGAGCACCCATAGGTTGTTGGTGCTCTCTGGGTGCTCCTTAGAGTCTGTCCGTCCCCTGAACCCCAGTCCCTCACTGCGGGGACCCCAGACTTTCCAGGGTAGGAGCCTCCTGTGCTGGGCTTGCTTTGGTTTGCACAGATGCCATCCATTATCTGCATTTCCATCTGCTGCTTCCTGATGCCTTTCGCTTCGGAACAGGGACCAGATCATGCAAAGGATAAGTCTCCTTGTTGAAGAAGAAATGTCAAATCTGTGCTGTTGTCAGCCAGCCAGAATCCTCCCTTCACACACGACAAGCGCCACCGTTGATGGCTTCCCAGGGAAGGCTGTGGTTGAACTAGTGCCTGCTCTTCCTGCTTCTGCTTCTCTGTTACCTTCTTGCCTTTAATTTTGACTTGCTTTTTCTAATCCGTTTTTAAGATTGATTTTTGCTCTGGCTGACCAACTTAACCCTTAGCATCAACCCCTTAAATCCCTGTCTTCTCACAGGTCTGGCCCGAAGGGTTTCAATCTATCTTGACAGAAGTAAACAGGGAGGTGAGTGCTCTCTTTCTGTTACCTACGGTCAGCCGGGTGGGGAGGAAGGATCTCCTCGTCTGCCCGCGGGTTGGTTGGCTGCTTGGTTGGATTTTTTGGCATTGTTTGAGTGACTGCTGGGTTCCTTGTGGTTCCTGGAAAGCTTTGCTGCTCCCACCTCTCCCCGTTCCTTGCCTCGTGTCTGTCCGTGGAGCCGTGAGAGGGGCTTAGGGGAAGGGGCAGCTCCATGGCAGACCCTCAGCTTCCCACAGCGAGGGGAGGTTTGGGAGGGGATGGACCAGACTCTCCTTCCAGGAAGATGGAAGGAGATTTGCCCCATCACTGGGCAAAAGGGTTTGACCCACAGGTTCCAGATGTGAACTGCTGTCACGCTGATATGTTCACTGGGGTTTATCTGTAACGCACTTCTGCTGTAAAAATCCTGTGAAAAGGAGAAGCTGATGAATCTGTCCCAAGAGGCTTAGAATAGTGGACTTCTGGCCAAGGATGTGCCTAATGAATTTTACAAATTCTGTTCTTTCACGTGGAAGGAAGGTAAATGGACTCTCTGACTCCATCTGTAGCAGGCAGGATGGCACGGAGTCTGCTCCGCTCCGGAGCCGAGGTCTCCGGGGGAAACAGATGGTGAATGTCCCAGGGCATCTCTGTGTGTGCGTGCGTCCGTGGGTGTGAGTGTCGACGTTGTCATCCTGGGTTATTCATCAATTAGTAATATTTGCTGAGTGATGAGAGCTGTCATGATGAAGAGGACGAAGATGATTGCGGTGGGGTGTGATTCAGAGCTTCAGGAGCTCGAGGTTGTTGCAAATCTCTCTCTCTGGCTGTCGGGAGGCAGAGCCCTGGGACAGGAATCAGCAGCGCTGATGCGTTGCCGTCAGCTGCCGGGCACCCGCAAACGGAAAGGCTAAAATTAGCAAAACTTGGCTGTGGGGAATTCCCCGCTCGGGAAACGGGGCATCGGAAGCGTTTAAGGAA